ATCAAACAGATAGACCGGTTAAAGCAAAATAAATCCCCGGGCCCTGATGAACTTTTTTCAAGGGTTCTTAAAGAGTGTAAAATGGAACTTTGTGAACCATTGACTAATATTTTTAATATTTCTCTTCAAACAGGTGTAGTGTCTGATATGTGGAAGATGGCTAATGTAATTCCTATTTTTAAAACAGGGGACAAGTTGTTACCGTCAAATTACCGCCCAATAAGCCTAACCTCAATTGTAGGCAAATTACTAGAGTCAGTTATAGCTGATAATATAAGAAGCCATCTGGATAAGCACAGCTTGATTAATGATACTCAGCATGGATTCATGAGGGGCCGTTCCTGCCTAACTAATTTATTAACCTTCTTCAGTAAAGCTTTTGAGGCCGTTGATCATGATAAAGAATACGATATTGTTTATTTAGATTTTAGTAAGGCTTTTGATAGAGTACCGCACCAGAGACTGTTAAAAAAAGTGGCAGCTCATGGCATTGGGGGAAGTCCACTCCTTCAAATTACCGTCCAATAAGCCTGACATCTATAGTGGGCAAGTTATTAGAATCAATTATAGCTGACATTATCAGAAGTCACCTTGAAGAGCATAACTTGATAAATGAATCTCAGCATGGATTCACGAGAGGTCGTTCCTGCCTGACAAACTTACTGACGTTCTTCAATAGAACATTTGAGGCAGTTGACAGTGATAAGGAATATGATATTGTAAAGTAAAAGGACACAAGTGCAACTAATGTGACATTTATTGTGGCAACGTTTCGCTCTCCAGGAGCTTTATCAAGCCATTACAAACAATGATATTGTTTATTTGGATTTTAGTAAAGCCTTCGACAGAGTACCTCACAAGAGACTCTTAAGAAAAGTGGCAGCTCATGGTATAGGAGGTAAAGTTCTAGCATGGATTGAGGCATGGCTTACCAATAGAAAGCAGAGAGTTACCATTAATGGAGTGAAATCTGAATGGGGATTAGTCACTAGTGGCGTTCCACAAGGATCAGTTTTAGGCCCTATCCTGTTCATAATTTACATTAATGACCTTGATGAAGGGATTGCTAGTGACATGAGTAAGTTTGCTGATGATACAAAGATAGGCCGTATAATTCACTCTGAGGAGGATATCAATGAACTCCAGGACGATTTGAACAAATTAATGTCTTGGTCTGAAAAATGGCAGATGAAGTTTAATGTGGATAAGTGTAAGGTACTTGCCCTTGGTAATGAAAATAACCTTCGAAGCTATAATCTAGGTGAAGTAGAGCTTGGTCATACAGAATGTGAAAAAGACTTAGGAGTCATGGTAAGCAGAAATCTAAAGCCAAGACAGCAGTGCCTTAGTGTGCGCAACAAGGCCAACAGATTACTTGGATTTATCTCAAGAAGTATAAGCAACAGAAGTTCAAAAGTTATTTTACAGCTCTATACATCACTAGTGAGGCCTCATTTAGATTATGCTGCTCAGTTTTGGTCCCCTTACTACAGGATGGACATAGACTCATTAGAGAACATACAGAGAAGAATGACTAAAATGATTTACTGTGTAAGGAACCTCCCGTATGAAGATAGACTTAAAGCCTTAAATCTCCACTCTCTGGAGAGGCGTAGATTATTATTATAATCAAAAAGAAGCGCTAAGCCACAAGGGCTATACAGCGAAGGAGAGGCGTAGAATGAGGGGAGATATCATTGAAGTGTATAAGTGGATGACGGGCATAAACAAGGGAGACATTAATAAAGTACTGAGGGTGTCGAACCAGGTAAGAACTAGGAATAATAGATTTAAGTTGGATAAATTTAGATTTAGAAAGGACATAGGTAAGTACTGGTTTTCTAACAGAGTTGTAGATGCGTGGAACAGTCTTCCCAGTGGGGTGATAGAGGCTAGGACCTTGGGTAGCTTTAAGAAGAGACTGGACAAATATATGAGTGGGAGGGGCTGGGTTTGATTGGTGTCCAGGGGTACAGGAGTTATTTCTTGAGTAGCTTTAGGTAGATGTCGTTTTGATAAGGACCTGCCTCGTATGGGCTAGTAGGCCTTCTGCAGAATCTCCACGACTATGGTGCTCTTCGCACCTACTCCTAGGTTGAGGGACTGATTACCTCATCTTCTGTACATAGTTCTACTGTCTTCAAGTTATGTCCTAGAATTTGTATTGATAAAGCCACTGGATGGCGAAACGTCTACAATAAAGATACCCAGATGTTGCACATGTGTCTTAATCTCACCTTCTGCAGTGTTCCTACATCCTTATGTTCTTATGGATCGAGTCATGGCTCACTAATAGGAAGCAGAGAGTATGCTTAAATGGGGTTCAATCCGAGTGGGGATCTGTAACAAGTGGCGTACCACAGGGATCAGTCTTAGGCCCGTTGTTGTTTATAATATATATCAATGACCTTGATGAGGGTATTACTAGTGATATGAGCAAATTCGCCGATGACACAAAGATAGGTAGGATAATTGATTCAAACGTAGATGTTAGGGAACTTCAGGAGGATTTAGACAAACTCTATTCTTGGACAGAAAAGTGGCAGATGCGGTTCAATGTAGATAAATGCAAGGTTCTGAAGCTCGGGGGTGTCCATAACCCTAGCACTTATAAGTTAAATAATGTAGAACTTAGCCATACAGATTGCGAAAAGGACTTGTGGGTTATGGTGAGCAGCAACCTTAAACCAAGACAGCAATGCCTAAGCGTACGTAATAAGGCAAATAGATTATTGGGATTTATATCAAGAAGTGTAAGCAACAGAAGTCCAAAGGTTTTACTGCAGCTTTATACATCATTAGTAAGGCCTCACCTAGATTATGCAGCTCAATTCTGGTCTCCATATTACAGAATGGATATAAATTCGTTAGAAAACATTAGTAAGTAAGTACTTACTTAGAAAACATTCAGCGTAGAATAACTAAATTAATACATAGCATTAGAAATTTTCCTTATGAAGAAAGATTGAAGACTCTTAAATTACATTCTCTTGTTAGACTAGACACATGTGCAACTCTTGGGTATGAGACACTTATGCAGCATATGGGAATCTTTATCCAGGAAACGTTTGCATAAGTGTCTCAATCTTCAACTTGTCGGTTTTTCAAACCATTCATCACAACTCTTGGGTATCTTTATTGAGGAAACGTTTCGCCACACAGTGGCTTCATCAGTCCATACAAAGGATAAACTTGAAGAACAGGAGGAGAATGAGGTAATCAGTCCCTCAGCCTTGAGTCGATGTGGTCAGTCCATCAAGATTGATGGACTGACCTAACTGTTGCATATGTGTCTTACCTAACAACCTGTCGGTATTTTATACCATTTTAATGTTCAATCTGTCAGACACTGCAACACAAGGGTATCTTGGTACAGACCTGAAATCAACTTCGACAACCTCTACTAGTGAGAACGGCTGGATTTGAGAGGGACCTGACCTCCCAACATCTACGTTCTACTAGTGACCTACGTCTCACCTCCTGGCGCTATATAAGGCTCCATCCTGTCACCCGCGTCAGGAAACATTTGTCCTGTTTCCTGACGAACCTTACCTAACCTAACCTAACTTCAACTCCATATTGTTTCAGACTATGGAACAATGCTCTTCTCCAGACTGAGGGACTGACCACCTCAAAACTTTAAGGGTGATGGACTGATTACATCGTCTTCAAGTCTCTGCTTCTATCAACTTTTCTGTACTCGACTGAAGAAGCCTACTGTGTAGGCGAAACGTTTCGAAATAAAGATACCTAACTGTTGCATATGTGTCTTACCTAACAACATTGTAAAGGACCTGCCTAGTATGGACAAACAGGCCTGCTGTAGTGATCCTCCTTTATTATGTTCTTATTTAAAGGGCTGCAAATAACGTGGGAGTGAGATTTAAAGGGCCGAGGTAAACAATGAGTCACCATTTATATGACGTCACGTCAGACGCTGAGATGTAAATAAACATCAGCCACAGTTTAGACACATCTCCGCATCTTCGCCAAGCTATGTTGTTACTATGTCAATACAGCCTATTCCTTTGGTAGGAATATTAATGAGAAAATTATTTTCTCCAGCACGTACATTTTGTACCGCCTATACATTTTTTATACATATATTGTTATTGATAACTTTAGGAATCTAGGGGAAAGTTATATATATGTGTTGGATGATGCTCCAGTCACCTGGTGTACCTTCCAGGTTTGACAGGTAAGAGAGAGTAAGTAAGTTTATTCAGGTACTGATAAACATAAATACAGTTACATAAATTTTTATACATAGCAGCATATACATAATTACCTAGGGTAACCCAGTATAGTGATTTATTTCTATTTGGGTTCTCGAGTCTATGTAGGCACAGGTACACGTAAGTACATAGTGTAAATTACCTAGGATAACCCAGTTACATATATCATGAACAATTACATTTGTTATATATTTAGTACATGGGATTTATACAGGTGGGTTTGTGTAGAGTAACGTTATTACACAACTGAGTAATAGTGTTTGAGGGGCCGGGTGGAAATATAATGCTTTTATTTTGTTATTCTGGGTGTACCCCCCCCCTCAGGGGAGGTTCCTTGATGCTGGTGAGGGGCTCTTGATCTATGGAATTGGATCTGTGCTTCAGTTAACTGAATTGAGCCTGAATGCCTTCCATCCCCAACCCACCATAGGCGCTGTATAATCCCAACGGGTTTAGCGCTCCTTCATGATAATAATCTGGGTGTACCCTTCAAGGAAGGTTCCTTTATGCTGGTGAGGGGGGTTCTTGATCCAAGAAATTGGATTTCTCTTCCCCTTCCTTGGATTGAACCTTATTGTCTCCTATTCCCCAGGCACTATATTGTCCCTATGTGTTTAATGCTTCCCCATCCAAAAAAAAAAAAGAAAATTATATTCTAGTGTAAATCTATATTATGTACCATTAGTTTCTGTCAGCAACATCTGTGTTTCCTCAGAAATATTATACAAATTCGTACTAGGTTAGGTTAGGCAAGATTTGTCGGGAAACAGGACAAGTATTTCTTAGTCATACAGTGACCCACAGCTGGAGCTTTTGATCATCTGAAAGAGGCCTTACGCTGGATTACTGGTCCACCTCTTTAAAAATTATGGTTATACATAAAAAAAAATTGTATTAATGCCTATAAAATCATTTGGGGCCTAAGGACCTCAATGAAAATAATCCACTTGGCTTGGTTTTCCTTGCAATATCCTGGGTTATTACCCCTTCATAAGTTACTAATGCAAATAAAACTTTTTCCTCTTATCCTTGAATTGTCCTACCCTTCAAAGGAGGTTCCTTAATGCTGGTGAAGGGTTCTTGATCTAAGGAATTGGGTTTACCCTTCCCTTGGATAAAAACTGAATGCCTTCCATTCACTCAGGTGCAAAAAGACTCCTCTTTGTTTAGCACTCCCCCTTGAACGTACTAATAATAATAATAATCCTGAATTGTTCCGAGTTGTTAGTAATACAGTGGACCCCTGAGTTTCGTCGGCATCGACTTTCGTGAAATCCGACTTTCGGCAAGTTTTTTCAGCAAAATTTAGCCTCGTGGTTCGTGATTGGACTCGTGATTCGGCGACCGTCTGGTACCCGTCCGCCCGTCACTGCGCACACAAAGCCAGTCTCCCGCACCATTCACACTCAGTGTGCCATTGCTGACCAGCATGTAACCATCACCCCACGGGTTTATACAATACAATTAATAATAATCCATTGTTTTTTGTGCTTGCAACTGATAAATAAGTCACCATGGGCCCAAGGAAAGCTAGTGCAAGCCCTTTGGTAAAGAAAGCGAGGAACGCGATCGAATTCAAGAAGGAAATCATTGAAAAATATGAGAGCGGAGTGCGTGTTACAGAACTTGCCAGGATGTATGGCAAACACCATTCAACCATCACTTTGATTGTGGCGAAGGGAAAGGAAAAGTGTGCTGTTGTTGCAAAAGGGGTAGATATGCTGACAAAAAAGAGATCGCAAATCCTCGAAGAAGTGGAAAGGTTATTGTTGATGTTGATTACCCAAAAACAGTTAGCAGGAGATAGTATTATGCAGTTAGGTGTCAGAACGGATTAATTTTATTTCCATTATTTCTTATGGGGAAAATGGTTTCGCCATTTGGCAATTTCGACATTCAGCAGACTCTCTGGAACGGATTAATCACGAAACTCGGGGGGGGGGGGGGGGTCCACTGTAGTAAACTTATGAGAATAGACTTAAGAGAACACAGCCCCCATTTCACTTACAACATTCATCCATATTATATATTTTTCTCTTTTGTTGAAATTTTAACATTCATATTTATGCTAACTGTGGTATGTTATTTCACCTCTTTAAAGCCCATTTTTTTTGTTTTGACAGGTGAAATGCATACATTAAAATTTAACCTATAGTTATACTGTAAGTTAAATTTTATGCTAAAACTCAACATGCATCAGCAGTAATTAGAGCATAAGAAATCCATGCAGAAGATATGGATGGTGATGATAGTGTTGTAAGTATATCAGCAAGCATATGTTTTTAAAGTACAGTATGGTACATAAGTTCATTTTTAAAGTATTGTACAGTACTATAATATAACAAAAAAGAGCCAGTAAGACTATTATTTTTAAAGTACAGTTGAGCAACTAATTTAAAGTCTCTTGTAAATAAGCACTGCATACAAATCTTTGGAACATATTAATGAATTTTTATTACATATTTAATTTTAAATTGAAAATTCAGTATGCACTATTATTTAAAGTAGGAGCAAGTGATGGTGAATTTTTATTTTTTCCTTGGAGTTACCCTGCCTTAGTGGAAAATATCTATTATATTTAGTATAAAAATTGAAGCATTATAATTTTTTTTCAACACAATGGCCATCTCCCACCAAGGCAGGGTGACTTGAAAAACAAGAAATGTAAAGTTTTCGTTTTGCATTTGGTAAATTATTAAGGAGAAGTGGTTACTATCCCCTTCCTCCTGACATTTTAGTCATCTCTTACGACACACATGGCTTACGGTGGAAGGATTCTTCTCCACTTTCCCTTAGAGAAGCATTATAATACCTTTCATATATACACAAACAGAATTATCCACTATACTATACAATCTCAACAGATTGAAGATGAATGGGTAGGCTTGCGCAGAAGGTTCACAATTGAAGGCTTGGAATGGGAGACCTTGGAACCTAGTTCACAAACTCTCCATGTGTGGCGTTGGGTGGTGGATGCTGAGGCCAACCTGAAGACAGCTCGTCATATTAATGATAAATTAAGAAGACAGCACGATGAGGAAAAAGTGGTGGGTTTTCAATTTATAAGTGAATTTCGATGCCTGAGTGTGATTTAGATGCCTGGGTGTGATTTAAATACCTGGGTATGATTTAGATATTGAGAGTAGAGTAATAGAAACACAGTGTTTATTGTGATTTATGTGATTCATTGGGAATGTTCACTGCTGCATCTCTAAATGTCAACATGTTAACAATGAGAGTAATAGAAATAATTAGAAAGAGCAGACATCAGAAGTCAGCCAAACCTTCTAAAATGCAACTCTAAAATGCAGAAATTGAGTTTTTACATTCCTGCTTCTTCAGTCTCCAGGGTTTTTCCTCTTTTGTTTTTGCTTCAAAAGATTGTCGCAAGGCCTGGTCACAGACCTGGCTGCGGGAGCATTGACTCCTGAAACCCTCTTCAGATATACTCCAGGTATACCTTAATGCATTAATGTATTTGTTGGTGCAGTGCATTTGTTGGTACAGTGTATTATTGGTTAATTAAACTGTTAATTAACATTAACTAATCTATTCTAAAGAGCATATTAAGAAAATGAGGTTAAGGAAATGAAACATAAAACCAATATTAGCATTAAGAAGACAGGCTGCAGAAGCACACATTGATTGAGTCATTTGAGGAAGTACATTTGCTGGATGAAAGATAAAAGTATAGTAAATTTAGATGGAAAAGACCAAGCTAGGTAGGTTGAGGGCAATTCTCTAAAGTTAGTATGTACTAGTAAACCCCAGGCATATATATGTATATATATATATAAGCTTCACAATAACAAGTACTTTAGTAGAAGAGATAGTAGACATTGGTGTAAGAGATTAATAATTTTACGTGAGGATGTATGTGATTAAACAGATTGTTAGTAAGGGCTATTGAAAGTTGGAAAGTGAAGAAAAAATTATAAGTGAATCTGAAGTATGCATAATGACACGTACACAAATAACCCGCACATAAGAGAGAGAAGCTTATGATGACATAATGGTCCGAATTGAATGGTTATGTTGTCATAGGCTTCTCTCTCCTATGTGCGGGTTATTTGTATATTGTTCCAGTCATGGTATTATGCCATTTTGTTCTTTATGACCCAATTTACTTGATATGAATCTTACTTTTGTAGATTCTGATACTGAGAAAACTTTATATTACAGGAACTAGATGAATACACTCAACACATACGTGCCAGATGTGAGGAACGTGTAAAAGAACTCGATGATGAAGTTCGGAACTTGAGGGAAGATTTGGAATCTCTGCTGGCTGGGACACAAGCAGTAACATCCTTGCTTCTCAAGGAAGGATTAGAGGATGTAGCTCAGAGTTCACTAGGTGAACAGGTGTGTATTTGCAGAAGAGAGGAATAGTTTACAACAGTTAAATTGTAAATGGAAATTGGATAATGTTTCAGTCAGTTCTTCCAGTGTATGAGTTTTTTTTAATTGCTCCATTCATGGTACAGGTCTGCCATCACAAATCCAGCAGTCACACATCCGGTTCCATCAGTTATTCAGCACTAATTTCGGCTAGCATAATTTCAAATTTCCAGGGTCACCTCACCAACCTGCTGGTACTGTTTGGTGGCACTACTTGCTGCATAAGTCATTCCAATTTCTTTTTCTCCATTTATTGTTATAACCTGCTTACTATTAGCGCTAGCCATGGTTCCAATGAATAAAAGAAATGCTTTTTGTTGTGTAAAGCACATACACAGTACATTGTCCATAAAAGATAAGGTGGCTTTGAAGCCGCTGTCAGTCGCCATGAGCTCAGTCTTGTGATGCATTGGAATATGCTTTATTATTACACTAATATCAACACTACGGCTTATTTACCTATCAAAATTGATCTAATATGACTTTCTTATCCTCTGAGATGAATAGTATTTGTGGATGGTATTGTACATTTTTGTACAATGGTTAGTAGGGTTTAAAGTGCATTGACTATACAAGGGTCATTAAGTCTGCATGTAACCTTTTCACCACTGGTCAAGAATACTTTAATCCCTAAAATAAGGATTAAAAAAACTGAGCATATATGGTATATGGCGAGAGAAATACACCCCTCAGGGTATATATCATCTTATATTTTTATATAATAGGCAGGAAATACATAAGCTGTGTTTGTCAAATGTGTGGCATTGTCCTTCACTAATACCTGGTAGTATTATATAATCAGTGGATTGCACTTCTCTTGGCATTACTAATTGCTTTGAATTTTGTTGTAGTTCAGTGAAATTCAGTGTTAAAAAGATTGTCTTTTGAACTCAGATACTGTATAGAATTTTAAAAGTGAACACTTGCAGATTCCATATGAATAAAGATGGTATTTATATGAAATATTGGTATCTATTATATTAATGTTTTAGAAGAAGGTACTGGAGGAATGCTTCAGGTTTTTCCACTGCTGTGTATTCAGTAGATTGCCTACCTGCTTGTGGAGCGGTTGAAGATGAATGAGGAGCTTGTAGCTGCTCGAACCAATCCAGTTTCCAGTCGCGAGAGAGAACTGACAACACAGCTCATCAAGGTAAAGTGGAACCTAGGTATCTAAACTAACATCCTGACTTGCTCTCTTTGCCTGCTCTTTTATCTGATAGTCTGGCATTAGCTACAAAATCTTTCTTTGATTCCTTAACTGACACTGGTTTGTTATACGAGCTGTGACCCTGCTCCTTTTAGATGGTGTCCTTTCCTCAATATCATGACCTCTCCCTTACCTTCCCTTCCTCACCTTTATCATACAGCATTAAATGACACTTATATGTTTATCATTCTCCATGAACATAGTAATAATAAATTAGTGCATTAATAAATTTAAATTCATTGGAACATAGAACTATGAAGTAAAATATGTAAATACTAGTAGTGTATTTATCAAAGATTTCAGTAGCTATTATCCATAATACATCTGTTCTACTGTTAAAAATATTTTTATATGAAAATGATATGCCTCTAAAGTTTATTGTCATAATTAAAAAAATGTGTTAAAATAGAGAGATAGTAAAATCTGCCTATTGTATTGCTTTTATTTCTTTATGTTGTGATTCTAATAGAAAACCTGCAATATATCAAACTAATGGAGGCAAATGGGTGGCCAGCAATGGCAATTGTGGTAACTAGAGAAAAAAATTGTTTTGCTTTGATAGCAAAAATAACAAGCAATTCTATAACCAGCAGTCTTTGTCATTTGCTCTCGATCGATTGACCCAACGGGTTTTGTTCTGCATTTCCAAAGTTCGTTATACTGAAGGTTTACTATAAAGAGTGTACTGTGAATGTTTGATAATGTAGCTTATTTACAAGTTTTTGTGTAATGCAACTTTTGCTGTATTTTAAACCCATTGGGGTAAAGTGTACCTTGATGCTGGTGAATCTTCTTCAAAGAAATGAACTACTCTCCTAATCCTTGGAACAAAATTATTCCCTGGGTGCTGTACAATCCTATGGATTTAGAATTTCCATATAAATATAATAATACCCTTAAAATATCTTTTATTTGCAGGCAAGCACTGAATTAGAGTTATTAAAGCGTACCCATCAAGATGTAGTGTGTCAAATGGCAGAAATGTCAGACCGAGTCACCTTATTGGAAAAGGCTTCACGTCAGCTAGAATTGGATAATGAAACTTTGGCTTATAAGGTAAGACTACTGAAATTACAAGGATGCACACAACTATAAGTTTCTTAGTACACCAACAGGGAGAGGAAGCAGTTATAAGTTACAAAAGAAAATACTCATAAAGTACCGGAACTAAAATTTGTCTTTCAGAGATTCTCTTGTTGGCATCACAGTAGTAAAGAAGGAGACCTGATAACCATCTTCAGTATTATAAAATAGTACTACCAAAATATAGATAATATAGATAAAATGGAAGAAAAAGTGACAGTTGCAAGCTTAGAAAAAAATTAATGCCAGGAGGCAGTGAGAAATATTTTTTCACAGTTTAAATTGATTTTTATGATAAAAACCAAAGACAGGACACAGGAAAAGGCACAGGTCTGTTATAGATAATTATTCATTTATCTATTTTTTTTTTTCAAACAAACCAGCCGTATCCCAAAAAGAAAAACGAAAGTTTCTCTTCAAATTTAGTAATTTATACGGGAGAAGGGGTTACTAGCCCCTTGCTCCCGGCATTTTAGTCGCCTCTTATAACACGCATGGCTTACGGAGGAAGAATTCTGTTCCACTTCCCCATGGAGATAAGAGGAAATAAACAAGAACAAGAACTAGAAAGAAAATAGCAGAAAACCCAGAGGGGTGTGCGTATATATATGCTTGTACATGTATGTGTAGTGTGACCTAAGTGTAAGTAGAAAGTAGCAAGATGTACCTGAAATCTTGCATGTTCATGAGACAGAAAAAAGGACACCAGCAATCCTACCATCATGTAAAACAATTACAGGCTTTCGCTTTACACTCACTTGGCAGGACGGTAGTACCTCCCTGGGCATTTATCTATTTCTTCTTCTTCTTTCAACACACCGGCCGTATCCCACCAAGGCGGGGTGGCCCAAAAGGAAAAACGAAAGTTTCTCTTTTTACATTTAGTAATATATACAGGAGAAGAGGTTACTAGCCCCTTGCTCCCTGCATTTTAGTTGCCTCCTACAACACGCATGGCTTACGGAGGAAGAATTCTGTTCCACTTCCCCATGGAGGTAAGAGAAAATAAACAACAAGAACAAGAACTAGTAAGAAAATATTAGAAAACCCAGAGGGGTGTGTATATATATGCTTGTACATGTATGTGTAGTGTGACCTAAGTGTAAGTAGAAAGTAGCAAGATGTACCTGAAATCTTGCATGTTCATGAGACAGAAAAAAGGACACCAGCAATCCTACCATCATGTAGAACAATTACAGGCTTTTGTTTTACACTCACTTGGCAGGACGGTAGTACCTCCCTGGGCATTTATCTATTTATATGAAGAAAATACTTGTAGGACACGGCAAGCATCAGAGGGGAACCTGCCAGTAGGAGTCACCTTTAACAAACGATTGTCACTGGAATATCATATTATTAAAACAAAATGAGAAACTCATATTCTGTATTGGCTAACTTAAAATAGCCTTTAAATATATGGATGGGGAATTGTTAAAACAAGTCTTTAAAGTGTCTGTTAGTCCAAAACTGAAATATTTAACACTTACGAGAAATCCTAAGACTAGCTTCCAAATGGCTCCCAGCATTATAAAAAAATACTAGTTACATTAAAAAATTGAAACTATTAACACTCATTAGCTGACAGGAGGAAGAACAAACAAACACACACACACACACACACACACACACACACACACACACACTCACTCTTACACTCGCTCTTATGAATGTAAACAAATTATATTTGTTAGTTTTCACTGAACATACACAATAGCATGGACTGACAGCTTTTCATTAGTGTACTGTGACTTCTTCATTCTCTTTTAGTTTAATTTCCTTCAGAAAATCTCCCCATTATTTGAAAATTCTGTTAAACCTTTCCAAATGTTTTTGATTACCCAGATGCATGACCCATTTGTAACTTTGTAACAAAATTCAAGGTAAAGTTTTTTTTTATATATGTATATCAAGTGTGTATATGCAGAGCATGATAATTGGTAACCTCCAACCTTAGCTTTCCGAGGCCTTGGCTGAGATAGAGGAGAACGAAGGCCAGCTCCGACGATATGCCAAGAGTGAGTCTGTATACAGTGTGTGATGTGTATGCATCTTTTCTTTTATATAATTTTTTTTTGTTTGATCATTCTTATTTTTGAGTGTACTATATCAAGCATGAACCTGCAGTCATTTTTTATATAGCATTTTTTTTTTGTTAAATTATTTTTATTTCGAGTGTACCATAACTAATGTATGGACTTTCAATCTTTTTGAGTCATTTAGCTACTGTTTCCCTAATTTTTTTGGTTCATGTTGCTTTTTTTTATATATTCATGTTGCATGTTTTATTTTGTAAAACCTAGCATCACATGCACCAGTAACATGAAGAGAATATTAGCATTCAATAAGTTGCACCTATTATGCCATTACCTATTTTTGTTTTTATGTGAAAAATCTACTAACCTGGGCTATCATCACTGAGAATAATGTAATTGCACAAAGCTCTTCATTAGCAAATTGCACCTGTGTGTATAGGTACAATATCAGAATTATTAATGTCACTTATCATATAGATAATCCAACAAAATACTAACAAGAAATAAGAAAAAAAGCTAACAGAAGAAGAAAAAAAAGGATGTTCAATTGAAACTCCCAATACTAGTAACTGTTTTCCTGTGGATTTAGCAGAGCTTGTGCACACCATATACTCCACATATTTATACTTTCCCTTGGAATTCTTTCATCCTGCCACTGCTGATGGTCTTTTCAACACTTCACCCACATGCACCCTTATTTTCATATGTTGTATTTCAATAATGCACAGTTTTTTATTATTTATATATTGTAATACAGTATATGACAATGTGTGACATTGAATATTCAAGTACTCTGCAGTACAGCCTCTCCTCATTTAGCGACATACTCGTTTACTGATGACTCGGACTTACGAAGGCTCTCTGAGCAGTATCCAAACCTAAATAATATATATTAGAGCTATTTCCTCTATTCTGTTTATTGCAATATACAGTCCACTGCTGTATAAACAATTAAAAATATACCACAAATGTTATAAATGGTGCAAAGGTGGCATTAAAACAATATCAAAGATGGTTGACACAAACCAACTACCATTATAGTATGCTTCTCACTTAGCAACAAATTCGTTTACTGACATGGTCTTAGGAATGGAACTCCATCGTTAAGTGTGGAGAGGCTGTATTTGCCAATTTAAATGGTACAGGGAATGATAAACATAATTTTACAAATAAATGATTTGCAGTATCTCTCTGTTTATACAGACAACCAAATATGCAGACCTATCAAAAATTATAATTCCTGATATACTACATTTAAAATATATCAGGCAAATTTCAATGCTCTTTTCCAGACACCAATTTCAGACGAGGAGAATCACCTTGCACCAGCTTGCGGAGTCACGAGGAGTACGGACCACCAAGCTTTGTAAGCCTACCACCCTCAGAGTGTGTAGTCATACATGGAGATTCCCAGAGGATGGGCATTCACAGGAGAGAATCCTCAAGAAGTAGTGGCAGAAGGAAAATTATGTGAGAAACCATCATGAATTCTCGTACTAAAAAAAACACACATTCTTGACATGTTCAGTATGTTCAAAGGATGTCATTTCTTTGATCTTTCATGATCCATTTAAAGCTGAAAATTGTGGTTCAGAAATAGGTTAATATCTGTTTTCTAACTAGTATTGTTACTGCCAGAACTCCTCTCTGAGAGGTTGACAAATCATATTAAAATACTATCTTTTCCTTCACCTTATTATTCCATTTGTAGCTGTAAATTATGACTCAGAAGTACACTGATATCTATGTTGTTCAACTCCTCTGCAGGGGATTGGACCATGACAGGAAATCCTCCTAAGTGGTTGTACTTAACATAACCTGGACTGTTCTATATTCATATCTTCAAAGGGGTGTCTTAATGCTGAAGGCTCTTGATCCTAGAAATTGAAACTACTTTCTCCTTCCTTGGATCAGACTTATTTATCTCCCATTCTCCAGGTGCTTTATGACTAATAAGGGTTTAGTGTGCACAAATAACCCACACACAGGAGACGGAAACTTATGTAGTCACATGTGAACCATTAACTAGTTGCATATGTATCATTAACTAGTAGCATGTGTATTATTAATTAGTTGCATGTGTACCATTAACTAGTAGCATGTGTACCATTAACTAGTCACACATGACTCATTAACTAGTTGTGTGACTCGTTAATGGACCAGTTTAGACTAAAACATCATTATAAGCTTCAGTCTAGTATGTGCAGGTTATTTGTGTATTGTTCCAGTCATAGTATTGTGCTTTATTATTCTTTAAGGTGCTTCCCCATTATAATAATAATAATAATAATAATAATAATAATAATAATAATATACTTATGACAATATTAAATCTGTCTTAGAGTATGTATCTTTCAATATCTGTTTTAAACAATAGATAAGTTTAGAAGAATGTATGTTACTTTATTTATCACTCATTCTCTTCAAAAATAAAAACAAATATTTCACTTCAAGTCTGCATAACTTTAAAAAATACAAAAATACAAGAATAAATTACTATGGGTATTAATCTGTATCTCCAGAACTGTCATTCATATAAGACTAAAAATTTTTATTCATATTTAAATTGTAACAATATAACATAGGAAAACACAAGCAAGTTCAGTTGATAATTTGTTCTCATAATCCTGGAGGAACTAATGCAGGTGATTCTTGAGGAACTAATGCAGGTGATTCTTGAAGAAGTAATGCAAGTATTCTTGAGGAAGTGATGGAGGTAATTCTTGAGGAACTAATGCAGGTGATTCTTGAGGAACTAATGCAGGTGATTCTTGAGGAACTAATGCAGGTGATTCTTGAGGAATTAATGCAGGTGATTCTTGAGGAACTAATGCAGGTGATTCTTGAGGAACTAATACAGGTGATTCTTGAGGAACTAATGCAGGTGATTCTTGAGGAACTAATGCAGGTGATTCTTGAGGAACTAATGCAGGTAATTCTTGAGGAACTAATGCAGGTGATTCTTGAGGAACTAATGCAGGTGATTCTTGAGGAACTAATGCAGGTGATTCTTGAAGAACTAATGCAGGGGATTCTTGAGGAACTAATGCAGGTAATTCTTGAGGAACTAATGCAGGTGATTCTTGAGGAACTAATGCAGGTAATTCTTGAGGAACTAATACAGGTAATCCTTGAGAAACTAATGCAGGTAACTGATGTAGGTAACTCATTCAGGGTAGAGATGAACAAGCAGTCTCATTTTCATATATACAATGCTATTGAAATTGAATGCAACACTTTAAATGTCATAGAACTCCTTTCCTCAACAAAGCAAGTAGAAGTGGTGGCCTTTAAATGAGCCCAGCCAAGCATCACAAAAACTGAACTTTTTTTTTTTTTAAACACGCTGACTGTCTCCCACTGAGGCAGGGTGACCCCAAAAAAGGCATACAGATATGACAGTTCAGCAAATATATACTATGTAATAACTTAATTTAACATTTTTCTATTGCATTTATTTAAATTGTTTGACTTGCCCTCCAGAGAGCCATTAAGAGCAGAAAGAGGCAAGTCACCAAGGAACAGTCAGAGGAGACAACACAGCAGTAAACTGAGAGGTGTTGGGGGAGATGGTGGCAAGAGTAACGAGGCAGTACAGAATGATGGAGAGTTAGCATTATCATCACTTGGAAAAGACCATGTGTAAGAAAGCTCCTAACTTTGTTTTATTATTATTATTTGTTGGATTATGTATTGGTAGATAAAAGACTGTTGAGTAGACTTCAGGATGTACATGTTTATAGAGGGGCCACAGATATATCAGATCACTTTCTAGTTGTAGCTACACTGAGAGTAAAAGGTAGATGGGATACAAGGAGAATAGAAGCATCAGGGAAGAGAGAGGTGAAGGTTTATAAACTAAAAGAGGAGGCAGTTAGGGTAAGATATAAACAGCTATTGGAGGATAGATGGGGTAATGAGAGCATAGGCAATGGGATCGAAGAGGTATGGGGTAGGTTTAAAAATGTAGTGTTAGAGTGTTCAGCAGAAGTTTGTGGTTACAGGAAAGTGGGTGCGGGAGGGAAGAGGGGCGATTGGTGGAATGATGATGTGAAGAGAGTAGTAAGGGAGAAAAAGTTAGCATATGAGAAGTTTTTACAAAGTAGAAGTGATGCAAGGAGGGAAGAGTATATGGAGAAAAAGAGAGAGGTTAAGAGAGTGGTGAAGCAATGTAAAAAGAGAGCAAATGAGAGAGTGGGTGAGATGTTATCAACAAATTTTGTTGAAAATAAGAAAAAGTTTTGGAGTGAGATTAACAAGTTAAGAAAGCCTAGAGAACAAATGGATTTGTCAGTTAAAAATAGGAGAGGAGAGTTATTAAATGGAGAGATAGAGGTATTGGGAAGATGGAGGGAATATTTTGAGGAATTGTTAAATGTTGATGAAGATAGGGAAGCTGTGATTTCGTGTATAGGGCAAGGAGGAACAACATCTTGTAGGAGTGAGGAAGAGCCAGTTGTGAGTGTGGGGGAAGTTCATGAGGCAGTAGGTAAAATGAAAGGGGGTAAGGCAGCCGGGATTGATGGAATAAAGATAGAAATGTTAAAAGCAGGTGGGGATATAGTTTTGGAGTGGTTGGTGCAATTATTTAATAAACGTATGGAAGAGGGTAAGGTACCTAGGGATTGGCAGAGAGCATGCATAGTTCCTTTGTATAAAGGCAAAGGGGATAAAAGAGAGTGCAAAAATTATAGGGGGATAAGTCTGTTGAGTATACCTGGCAAAGTGTATGGTAGAGTTATTATTGAAAGAATTAAGAGTAAGATGGAGAATAGGATAGCAGATGAACAAGGAGGCTTTAGGAAAGGTAGGGGGTGTGTGGACCAGGTGTTTGCAGTGAAACATATAAGTGAACAGTATTTAGATAAGGCTAAAGAGGTCTTTGTGGCATTTATGGATTTGGAAAAGGCGTATGACAGGGTGGATAGGGGGACAATGTGGCAGATGTTGCAGGTGTATGGTGTAGGAGGTAGGTTACTGAAAGCAGTGAAGAGTTTTTACGAGGATAGTGAGGCTCAAGTTAGAGTATGTAGGAAAGAGGGAAATTATTTCCCAGTAAAAGTAGGCCTTAGACAAGGATGTGTGTTGTTGTTGTGTCACCGTGGTTGTTTAATATATTTATAGATGGGGTTGTAAGAGAAGTAAATGCGAGGGTCTTGGCAAGAGGCGTGGAGTTAAAAGATAAAGAATCACACATAAAGTGGGAGTTGTCACAGTTGCTCTTTGCTGATGACACTGTGCTCTTGGGAGATTCTGAAGAGAAGTTGCAGAGATTGGTGGATGAATTTGGTAGGGTGTGCAAAAGAAGAAAATTGAAAGTGAATACAGGAAAGAGTAAGGTTATGAGGATAACAAAAAGATTAGGTGATGAAAGTTTGGATATCAGATTGGAGGGAGAGAGTATGGAGGAGGTGAATGTATTCAGATATTTGGGAGTGGACGTGTCAGCGGATGGGTCTATGAAAGATGAGGTGAATCATAGAATTGATAAGGGGAAAAGGGTGAGTGGTGCACTTAGGAGTCTGTGAAGACAAAGAACTTTGTCCTTGGAGGCAAAGAGGGGAATGTATGAGAGTATAGTTTTACCAACGCTCTTATATGGGTGTGAAGCATGGGTGATGAATGTTGCAGCGAGGAGAAGGCTGGAGGCAGTGGAGATGTCATGTCTGAGAGCAATGTGTGGCGTGAATATAATGCAGAGAATTCGTAGTTTGGAAGTTAGGAGGAGGTGCGGGATTACCAAAACTGTTGTCCAGAGGGCTGAGGAAGGGTTGTTGAGGTGGTTCGGACATGTGGAGAGAATGGAGCGAAACAGAATAACTTCAAGAGTGTATCAGTCTGTAGTGGAAGGAAGGTGGGGTAGGGGTTGGCCTAGGAAAGGTTGGAGGGAGGGGGTAAAGGAGGTTTTGTGTGCGAGGGGCTAGGACTTCCAGCAGGCATGCGTAAGCGTGTTTGATAGGAGTGAATGGAGACAAATGGTTTTTAATACTTGACGTGCTGTTGGAGTGTGAGCAAAGTAACATTTATGAAGGGGTTCAGGGAAACCGGCAGGCCGGACTTGAGTCCTGGAGATGGGAAGTACAGTACCTGCACTCTGAAGGAGGGGTGTTAATGTTGCAGTTTAAAAACTGTAGTGTAAAGCACCCTTCTGGCAAGACAGTGATGGAGTGAATGATGGCGAAAGTTTTTCTTTTTCGGGCCACCCTGCCTTGGTGGGAATCGGCCAGTTTGATAATAAAAAAAAAAAAAAAAATTAATACATAATGTAATTGTAGGTAGTAGGTTGGTAGACAGCAACCATTGAGGGTGGTACTACCGTCCTGCCAAGTGAGTGTAAAACGGAATCCTGTAATTGTTTTACATGATGGTAGGATTACTGGTGTCTTTTTTCTGTCTCTTAAACATGCAAGATTTCAGGTACGTCTTGCTACTTCTACTTACACTTAGGTCACACTACACATACATATACAAGCATATACATGTATATACACACCCCTCTGGGTTTTCTATTTTCTTTCTAGTTCTTGTTCTTGTTTATTTCCTCTTATCTCCATGGGAAAGTGGAACAGAATTCTTCCTCCGTAATCCATGCGTGTTGTAAGAGGCGACTATAATGCCGGGAGCAAGGGCCTAGTAACCCCTTCTCCTCTATGAATTACTAACTTTAAAAAGAGAAACTTTAGTTTTTCTTTTTGGGCCACCCTGCCTTGGTGGGATATGGCCAGTTTGTTAAAAAAAAAAATATTTAATAATAAAAATAATACAGGAGGGCCCTATTTATACATGTTTACACTATCATATTTTAAGTGAGCAATAGAGCTAGGCCTAAAAAATGCATATACAGTACACACATTACTTTACTTTAAAATATTTTTGTCCTTAGCTTAAAGTGAGTGGTGAATATATCTATTGTAGGAAGTCTGAATAATGAAGAATGGTTAAAACTGAAAACTGCTGCATTAGCAAAATGCTGTTAAGCAGGGCCCTCCTGTAATAATAAATAATAATACAACAAAAATAATAATAATAATAATAATAATAATAATAATAATAATAATAATAATAATAATAATAATAATAATAATAATAATGGGAAGTACAATGCCTGCACTCTAAAGGAGGGGTTCAGAATATTAGCAGTTTGGAGGGATATGTTGTGTATCTTTATATGTATATGCTTCTAAACTGTTGTGTTCTGAGCACCTCTGCAAAAACAGTGATTATGTGTGAGTGAGGTGAAAGTGTTGAATGATGATGAAAGTATTTTCTTTTTGGGGATTTTCTTTCTTTTTGGGTCACCCTGTTCGGTGGGAGACGGCCGACTTGTTGAAAAAAAAAAATAATAATAATAGTTATTGTAATCAAATGAAGCATTAAACCCAAAATGGCATATTGTTATAATAGAATAGAATGTTTAGCTTTTCCATAGCCTTTATGTGTAGTTATAAATGCATGACAGTTGCAACGATGCACCGTCCCTCTTTTTTTTTTCTCAAAGACAAGCCGGTCAACCAATTTAGTTTTTTATTCAGCCTGGCTATACATGTTTTAAATTAATGTTCTGAATGTTTTATTTTGTTTTGTTGTGACCCTCATTGCAGTAGCATTGCAAGTTTGGGATCTGCATCCCCCAAGAAGCTCCACTCACTCTTTGATGAACAAATACAAAGTTCCAGGAACAGAATCAGTATGTTGGAGGAGATCAGGAAGCTCCAAGTAAGTTTACTTATCTTCCACATTCTTTTTTTTTTTGCTACATAGGCTATTTTTCACAAAGGTAGGGTGACCCTAAGAAGGAAACACATTCACCATCTCTCATACAATAACTGTTTTGCCCGCAACTCAAATGATCACCCATGTATTTGTAATTTTTATTGTAATCTTGAAATGTAACTCCTTGGATATATGGTACTCATTACATTTTATAAATAATGTAGATTACAATAGTAAGGTTTATAAGGAATTAAGAACATTAAAAAACTATAACAGAAATGTAATGTTATTTTTAGATTCAAGGATTTTAATTATTTATTTTACTTTTAATTTTTTTTTTTCAGAGTGAGTTGGAAAATATTAAGAAGGACCTTATTGAAGCTGGGGACAGATATGAGCTTATTGTGCGAAAATATGAAGTCTATAAAATTAAGAGTAAAAATAAAGTTTATTCAGTCAGGTAAGTTCAGTAAATGATTTGAATTTTTTTAAATACACTGATCATCTCCCAGGGCAGAGGGACCCAAAAAGGGACAAAGAAGAAGGGGTTATTGGTCCCTTGCTCCCAACATTTTAGTCCCTCTTACAGCACACATGGCTTACAGAGGAAAGATTCTTCTCCACTTTTCCATGGATAGTTCTGTTTATATCCAGAGATCGAATCTCCTCTGGTACAGCTGGAAAACATTAGGGACGTGTTTCCATAAGACACCTGCTGTCCCTGTCCCTGTTCACCCATCAGTTTAAAATGGGTACCTGGGTGTAAGTCGCCTGGTGTGGGTCGCATCCTGGGACAAAACTGACCTAACTTGCCCTGAATGCTCAGCATAACAAGGGGCTTTCTATATAGTAGTGTGTCATTGATGTCAGCTAGGCCTGTATACCATGTACATGTACTTGTAGTAAATAAGGATATTATGTATCATAGTGGTTTCAGATGAGATGGCATGTGACTTAATTTTTTTTTTTAACAAGTCGGCCATCTCCCACCTAGGCAGGGTGACCCAAAAAGAAAGAAAATCCCAAAAAAGAAAATACTTTCATAATCATTGAACACTTTCACCTCACTTATACATAATCACTGTTTTTGCAGAGGTGCCCAGATACAACTGTTTAGAAGCATATATAAAGATCTAACATATCCCTCCAAACTGCCAATATCCCAAACCCCTCCTTTAAAGTGCACGCATTGTACTTCCCATTTCCAGTACTCAAGTCCAGCTATATAAAAATAACCGGTTTCCCTGAATCCCTTCACTAAATATTACCCTTCTCAAACTCCAACAGCTCGTCGGGTTCCAAATACCATTCGTCTCCACTCACTCCTATCTAACATGCTCACACATGCTTGCTGGAAGTCCAAGCCCCTCGCCCACAAAACCTCCTTTACCCCCACCCTCCAACCTTTTCGAGGATGACCCCTACCCCGCCTTCCTTCCCCTACAGATTTATATGCTCTCCATGCCATTCTACTTTGATCCATTCTCTCTAAATGACCAAACCACCTCAACAACCCCTCTTCAGCCCTCTGACTAATACTTTTATTAACTCCACACCTTCTCTTAATTTCCACACTCTGAATTCTCTGCATAATATTTACACCACACATTGCCCTTAGACAGGATATCTCCACCACCTCCAACCACCTCCTCGCTGCAGCATTTACAACCCACGCTTCACACCCATATAAGAGTGTTGGTACCACTATACTTTCATACATTCCCTTCTTTGCCTTCATAGATAATGTTTTTTTGTCTCCACATATACCTCAATGCACCACTCACTTTTTTTCTTCATTAATTTTATGGTTAACCTCATCCTTCATACATCCATCCGCTGACACATCAACTCCCAAATATCTGAAAACATTCACTTCTTCCATACTCCTCCTCTCCAATTTGATATCCAATTTTTCTTTATCTAAATCATTTGATACCCTCATCACCTTACACTTTTCTATGTTCACTTTCAACTTTCTACCTTTACACACACTCCCAAACTCATCCACTAAATTTTGCAATTTTCTTTAGAATCTCCCATAAGCACAGTATCATCAGCAAAAAGTAACTGTGTCAATTCCCATTTTGTATTTGATTCCATGCAAATTTCTTGGATATTGTGAACTCCATTTTTGGCTATTAAAAAAAAATGTGAGCTTTCTTTCCTAAAAGGTAAGATGTTTAACAACAAACTGGAATCATGGAACCTCCCTTGAAGGTTATTATGCATGTATATAACAATATTATATGATTTAGGTGATACCAACATATTTTTTGGGTATGGTGCATGGTTTTTTAAACTTTGTGGCTAGGAGGCTGAAGGCAGTGGAGATGTATTGGAGAACAATGTGTGGTGTGACCATTATGCAGAGAATTCATAGTTTGTAGATTAGGAAAAGGTGCAGAGTCACTACAAGTATTATACAGAGGGCAGAGAAGAGATGGTTGAGGTAGTTTGGCCATTTAAAGAGGACTGAGCAAAATAGGATGACATGGAGAATATGTGAATCTGTAGTGGAGGGAAGGTGGAGTAGTGGTTATTTTACAAAAGGATGGAGGGAGGGGGTAAAGGAGGTTTTGTGTGCAAGGGGCTTGGACATATAGCAAGCATGTGTGAGTGTGTTAGATATGAATGAGTGAAGACATGGTTTTTGGGCCCTGATGAACTGTTGGAGTGTGAGCAAGGTAATATTTTGTGAAGGGATTCTGGGAAATTGGTTAGCTGTACTTGATGATGACGATGAAAATGTTTCTTTTTCGGGTCACCCTGCCTTGGTGGGAGATGGCTAGCTTGATGGAAAAAAATTGCATTTACTCAGTTTATATAACAGTATTTTTTGTTTGTTTAGGTCAGCTTATCAGTCAGAACTTGACACGTTAAAGCGAAGAATTAACAAATTAGAAGCAGAAGTGGCACTCCAGGGAGACCAACTTCAGGCTGAAGAGTCCTTAAGAAAGCAGCTGGATGAGGACTTGTCCAGCATCAGAACAGAACGTCAGGAGTTGGCCATGAGGTATGTTGAAGGAAGGGTTGCATAATTTATCCATAAATTGTTTTTATCAAAGTGAAAACATGTAGTATAGTATTTGCTGACTTACCTGTTTTTCAATTTCATATTTTGTTCAAACAAATTTATTCTATGTCATATTAATAGATGAGGTAATGCACAATGTAACATGCTTTTGATAAAATTAATCCATGAAGGTGTATAAATGGAAAACAGGAATAAATAAAGGGGATGTAAATAGCGTACTGAAAATTTCCAGCCAAGACAGGACTCGGAGCAATGGTTTCAAGTTGGAAAAACTCAGATTCAGGAAGGATACAGGAAGGCACTGGTTTGGTAACAGAGTTGTGGATGAGTGGAACAAACTCCCGAGTACAGTTATTGAGGTTAAACCTTGTGTAGTTTTAAAAATAGGTTAGATAAATGCATGAGTGGGTGTGGGTGGGTGAGAGTTGGACCTGACTAGCTTGTGCTGCTGGGTCTGGTGCTGTGCTCCTTCCTTAAGTGAATATGACCTGACCAGACTGGGTGGGTCATTGGGCTAATCCAGGGGGGGGGGGGACATGGAACTGCTCTGCATGGGTCAGTAGGCCTGTTGCAGTGTTTCTTCTTTCTTATGTTCTTATGAAAATGGCATCCTGTTTATTGTCCTGTCAATTTTTACTGGTCTGCATAAACAAATGTCTTGTGTCACTACCACTACTTCCCCTACCTACTACTATTACTACTTCCCCTACCTACTACTATTACTACTTCCCCTACCTACTACTATTACTACTTCCCCTACCTACTGCTATTACTACTTCCACTACCATCATTGCCTCTACCACTATTATCTCCACTTCCTTATTTCTTCCAACTCTCTCTGTCCTGTTCCTGCCCTCCTCTCATATATGTACTGGCTCCCTTACCTTCGTGTGTTAGTGGAACTATATCATGGTCCAAGTCGGACCAAAACATTGCCATAAGTTTCTTCCTCCTATGTGCGGATTATTGTGCATTGTTACCCGTGGCCTGGTGGTAAAAGCTCTTGCTTCACACAGTGAGGGTCCGGATTTGATTCCTGGTGAAGGGGTAGAAACATCAGATGTGGTTTCCTTACACCAGTTGTCTATGTTCACCCATCAGTAAAATGGGTACCTGGGTGTTAGTCGACTGGTGTGGGTCGCATCCTGGGACAAAACTGACCTAATTTGCCCAAAATGCTCTACATAACAATCGGCTTTCTATATACAGTAGTAGTACAGTGGTACCCCCGAGTTTCAGCCATAATTCGTTCCAGAAGGCTGCTCGAGTGCCGTTACTGAACAAATTTGCTCCCATAAGGAATAATGTAAATTAGGAATAATGTAAATCAGACCCCCAAAAATACACTTGCAAAAGCACTTACAGTAATACACTTACATAATTGTTTGAGTTGGGAGCTATACGAAACTCGGGGTACCACTGTATATCATTGATGTCAGCTAGGTCTGTATACCTTGTACATGTACCAGTAGTAAATAAAGATATTGCATAATACTCCCTAGATCATTATTAGGATATAAATGAAAATGCCTCAGGACAGACTTAAGGTTTGCCTAGTGTACATTTCCAGTTTATAGGTTAGCTGTGAATTGTTACAGCTACAGTATTGTAACTTATTCTTTGTTTTTATTTGCTGTTTATCAGTGTGTTGATGTGTTAAAATTTTTAATAGTGTAGGGATTTGGGTGTGTGTCTGATAGCTACAGTAAATTTTTATATCTACTCTACATCTAGATGAAATAAGTTAACATACATTTAAATGCTGTACTATATATTTGACCTTAAATACAATATTTTTATTTGTTATTTCTTTATTTGGATACTCCCTAACTCTTCCTATGTATCTAATATAAAAAATAATTTCAGAGTGCGTGAAAGTGAGAGAATAGCCAATGACCACAGACAGGAAGTGAAGTTACTTCAGGAGAAAGTTCGACTTATCCAGAGTATGAACCAGGAGTTGAGTGAAAAACTTCAGGAATTAAGTGTAGCAGCTATTGTTGGGTAGAACTGCATAATCTTGCGAGATAAAACAGATGACAGTGAAGATTAGGTCTGCATTTTTATCTTTCCTGAATTTATAAAACAGATTAAAATACATTGTTTTTCAGTGTACAATACTGTAGTTTTTCTACAATGTACACCCTGCAAACCAAAAAATTATACATTTCTTCTGCCTGCCTGAATTTCAGAGGTGGGGAAAGTGTCTACACTTTAAAAGCCAAATGAATAATAATAATACTGTAGTACAATATAATCAAATTAAGCTCTAAATCCTAGAGAGTCATACAACAAATTCAAATTAAGATGCCTGAGTTTTATGGGAAGTACAGTGCCTGCACTTCGGAGGAGGAGTGGGATATTTGCATTTTCGATGGGTGTCTGAGCTGTGGTGTTGGCAGTACTCTGGCGAGACAGTGATGGAGTGAATGATGGTGAAAGTGTTTCTTTTTGGGCCACCTACCTTGGTGGGAGACAGCCGGTGTTTTAAAAAAAAATTGTACCTTTCTGAATAGGCAGCTTAGGAGAATATAATGGAATGTGTTTTTCATCACCCTACCTTAGTGGACAACAGCTATGTTAAACAAAAATGTTGCTGATTTTTAATTTTTTTTTCAGTCTCCTGTTTTCTTTATTGCAGAGAAAAATGGCAAAATTCTTCAGAATGAAGTTTGTGCTGACCAGTTGCTAAGGTCAAATATTTATAAACTCTTCCATAAAAATAAAAAAAATTTGTTCATATTTGCTATATTCAGTGTTTTAGAAAGACATATTTCTTCCATGAATGTCAATTCCCCTTTCCATATCTACTGTACTTTGTAACTGCAATAACTCCTATATCCGTCCATACTTGTAAGGTTGTGGTGGAGATGTTTGTTTAAACTTTGCAACATTTATAGTCAACTTGCAGCATAATGGTTGCAGGTGGATCTGAATGTTAAAGATTACATTGTAAATTTTTAGTGTATGAAATATACTGTTTATGGGGAAGTAATTTCTACATTTCTAGTTTTCTAATTTTCTATAATGCTTGGTAAAACTGGTAGTAGGAAATTTATAGTATATACTATTTACATGATAATGTACTTAACATTATATGGGATGCCCCTTTGAGCGATGTCAGCTTTTGAACTAGGAAAATGAAATACTGTGCTTCCTTATAAACATAATACAGTACTATATTAGTTATGTATATTAAAAAAAAGAAACTCAGGGTCATGTGTTCAAAATGAAAATGTTTCTTTGGTTAGCCAAGTAAAATTCTTGAATACTGTAATAATATTTAATTCTGTTTAAGGATCTTTTCACTTCAGCATAATGTTGAGATATGTACTGTGTATGATATTCTTCCATAAATGAAAACTGCATAGATTAGAGATTTTAAAATTTTTGTTATCTGTAGCCAAAAAAAACAATGACTTCATTCAGGGGTACTGCACTGTTAGTGTTACCAGATTTATCGTCTTTATTAAATATTAAGAGAATAAGTGAAATTAAAGCCCCCCCCTCTTTACAATATTATATTGTTCCACATGTTATGTTTACTTGATATTTTGGTATGCAAATTATACCCATAGCAAATCAGTTGCTTATTTTGAAATAGATGAAGAGCAGTATGGTATTCAGTTTATGTATTACTTATTCCTGCAAGAGAATTTTGAAAATGATTGATATAATATTTCTTATACTCTTATTATATAAAGTGTATTAGAATAAGTGGCTATATTGTAAAATTATGTTTGTATCAACAATCCTATTACTTTATGTACCAAAAACAATATTTATAACTGCAGTAGAACCCCCATATCCACTGACTGGGGTATGTGTGGTTTCAGTTGTCCACTGTTTAATGTGGCCAAAAAATACCTCTTAATTTTGCATAATAATGGCTCCAAAGCATAAAAGTAGAAAAGCTAGCAATTCTTCAAAGCCTAAGAGAAGCCTGAAGTGCTTCCCATCAGTGAAAAAGTGATAATTCTCCACTTATTGTGCATAATCTATCAATTAAACTTTATGATAGGTATGCATAGGACTTTCATTAGGGTTTACTACTATCCACAGTTTTGGTATCTACAGCAAGTCTTTAGAATGTATCCCCCATGGATACAGGGATCTTATTACACTACTAGATTTTTTAACATCTTATTTTTATATTATTTATGTAATATCTTTATGTAGAACAATTATTTTATCTGTTTTATGAATAAGATATATAGTAAATAACATATGACACAAATTGTATGTTTTTATGGCATTAAACTCAATGAATTGTCAGAAATAGTTTTCTTCAATGCAACATCAAATGTATTTAATGTATGTTAAGGGGAAAAATATCTTCATAACAAAATTTGAGTCTTTGAGTTTTGTTTTAAAGTTTGGCTGGCATCAATGGAGGGGCATTCATAGTGGTTAGGAGCTCTTGAAACAAGGAAGTGAACCTGCCATCTCCTTATTTGGGCTGATCATGATTTTCTCCCATTTATATATGACCCTTATATCTTTAGACCTTCAAAATAATAATAATGAGAAGAAGAATAACTATTTTTAAGTAGTTTGCAGCACTGTATGACCCTTATGGGTTTAGCACTTAATTATGATATAATAATTTGAGGCAGTTTAGGCATGGAGATGGATATGATGACAAAGAGGGTGTATAAATTTGTGGTGGAAAGTAGAAGGGGAAGGAGGTCATCACAAGAATGGCTGGAAGAGAGAATAAAGGAGGCTTTGGGTTTTAGGGGCTTGAACATCCAACAGGATTGTGTAAGTGTGTTATATAAGAGTGAAAGGAGACAAGAGGCTTTAAATGGATAGGCTGTTTGAATGTAAGGAAGATAACACTTATGAATTGATTTAGGGGGAAACCGGTTAGCTGGACTGGTGTCTTGGAGGTGGGAAGGGCAGTGCCTGCACTCTGAAGGATGGGTGGGGATGTAACAGTCAGGTTATCTGAATTGTGATATCAGCACACTTCTAGCAAGACAGCAATTGAATGATAATGAATGTATTTTTTTAGGGTCACCTTGACTAGATGGGAGACAGCCATTGAGGAGGAAAGAGTTGATAAAGAAAGTACTATATATGAAATACTGGTTTGGCAATAAACTTATAGATGAGTACAATAAATGCCCAGGTACCATTGCCAAAGAGAGAACTTTGGATAGCTTTAAATATAGGTTGCATGGGTATGCAGGTTGGATCTGTGTACCATGGGCCACCTGGAGTCTACCTGGACGGTATTCTGGGGATCAACACTCCTGCGGCCTGGTCCACGCCAGGCCTACCAGTGGATCAGGGCCTGATCAACGAAGCTGTTATTGCTGGCTGCACGCAATCAGGTCTCTGGTGGCCTGGTGGCTAACGCTCTCGCTTCACACGGCGAGGGCCTGGGTTCGATTTCCAGCCAGAGTAGAAACATTGGACGTGTTTCTTTCCACCTGTTGTCTATGTTCCCCATCAGTAAAATGGGTACCTGGGTGTTAGTCGACTGGTGTGGGTCGCATCCCGGGACACTGACCTAATTTGCCCGAAATGCAGAGCATAACAAGGGAGTTTCTATATAGTAGTATGTCATTGTTGTCAGCTAGGACTATACCTTGTACATGAACTTGTAGTAAATAAAGATATTATTATTATTATTATTATAACATACAAACCACAGCCTGGCTGATCTGGCTAAGGGGCCTATTTTCTTAAAAAAACTGAGTTATGATACCAACAAGCTGAAGAAAAGAACATGTGTGCAAACCCTTAAGACATTTTAGCAGAGCTGTATGACGCTTGTGGGTTTAGCAAATAGTTTTAATTATTAAAATAACAAGACATTTTATTGCTGTACGTTTTACTCCTGGTACTAAAGGAGTGAACAAGAGCCCAGGACTGAAGCATATCCTGTTAGAATGCTTTAACCCTTCATCGCGCAAGGGGTCCGAAAATTTGAAATTCGAACTGAACTCCCTATGGTGGATAGAGTAACTCAATACAAGATCACTGATCCCATATAAATTGATTTCTGATGGTTAGTTTTCGAGCAATTGCTAATCTCCGAAGACCGAAAATATTCGGCTGCGCCCGACAAAGGGATTAAAAATTTTTATGTTGCAAACTTGCAATTGTTAATAAAACACACCAAAACAATTTTTTAAATTTAATATACAAACAGACAATATAAAAAACATAAATGGAACTTGTATCAAAACATTTTTTAATTGTTACAAAAATATAAAAAGGAAGCAAATATCAACAATGCCAAATTGCAAAGTGATGCAAGTTTCAATCCCTATATTCCTGAGATTCATTTGGAAGACCAATGATTCTACATTGCTAAATGGAAAGATGGAAGTCTGAGAAACAATTTCTATCAGTCTTTATGCACAGATTTACTTTGCATACACTACACACGAATGACGATGTTACCGGTTTCTTCGTGTTGCTGCAATACTTGCAAGTAAACGGCCTTTGCCCTGCCATTGGGAAGTGCATTAGACTAAGATCTTTCCTAACACTGTCTTCAGGCATTTCTGTACATTTTCCCCTCCCAGGTTTCACTATGCCAACACCATTGGAAGTACATGGTGAATTAGTTGGTGAAGGTCTTGGAGTTGTTCTTAGGATGCTGCCTCTAAGGTTTTGTCCTTTAGACCTTGCAATTTCAGAGATACAATTCCTGAAATACTTCAGTTGCATACACTTTTGCTTTATTGCTCGAGAATCACGGCAATAAAGCAGCCACGCATTCACAACAGCAAGATCAAGAATATAGGCAAATAGCTGCATGTACCAACGTTTTGATTTCATTGGTGTTTTGTAGAGATGCACCAACATGTTGCTTTTGTCAATACCTCCCATGTTTGCATTATAGTTCTTGATGACTGCAGGGCACGATATTTGGTCTCTCCTCTTTGTAACCCTGTTATATCTGTCAACAAGACTCAGAGGCTCGACCCCAATATCAGTTGTCACTAAAGTCACAACTTTGGTGTCCTTCCATCTTACAACAAGGACACCATCATTGTTGTTGAAGCAAAAATTGCCCCTGACCACAGTGTTCCTTTCCATTTGTTTGATAGGCGCCAGATCTGGCTTACCACATCTATTGTCACGTACTGTTCCAGTGTATCTGCAGTTATACTTATCTCTTAGTAGCTTGACCAAAGGTATACTTGAAAAGAAATTGTCAGCATAGATTGCTGATGTGTTGGTCTTGTTCATAGTTTGTGCAAGTACCAGAACAATCTTTGTACTTATTGGAAGTTTAGATTCTTCCTGTGGAAGCTGTATGGGATGTGTGTCAAAAGTTGTTGTGCCTTGATACATGAGTATATCATGTATGAGTCCATCTTGACTTGCACGACAAAAAAGTTTGAAACCCCACTTATCTGGTTTTGTTTTGATGTACTGCCTTAGGTTTCCAGCAGTTTCACCCTTGAAACCAACCATGACTTCATCAATAGATTGCTTGGGTGTAGCTGGAATTTTCAAGCAAGCATTAGTTAGTTCAGTGTAAAGAGGCCTTACTTTGTAGAATCTGTCATTATCCTTTTTTGTGTTGTCATTGAAATGAATATGACTTCTAAGGTACCTAAACCTCTTAGACGCCATGCTATCTACAACCTGTGGGATCCTAAAAGCAGCTTTCCAATAGTCTTCGAGGGATGGTAGTGAAGCAATACCTATGAACAACAAAATACCTATGAACCTCAAGATCTCTTCAGAATCTGTTGAAAAAGTACTATTTACGTCTTTTTGCCTTGCATACAAATTTGTTTGATATGCTATGTTATCTATCATGGCTGGAGTAACGAACATACGAAAATACTCATATGGAGACCTAATTGCAAGAGGCTTTTCATGTTCATATGCCGGCAAAGGATCATTTTGAATGTCATCTACGGTCCACTGAGATGAAACTTGAAGAGCAATATTCTCATGGATCTCTTCCTCATCCGGGTATTCCTCAATCCTAAAAGTTTTCTTTTTCCTCATTACTTTCTGCTTTTTGGCTGGCCTTTCTTCCCTTTCTTCCTCCTCATCATCACTTGACATCTCTGCATCCTGTGCATCCAGTGGCAAGTATTCATCACCACTATCCAGCAATTCTGGTTCGTCTACCTCTGGTTCCTAGTCACTGTCTTCAGAAACGCAGACATACCTCGACCTGCTGGTCGACTGCTCCCCATAAAACAGCCTCTCATGGAACTGGAAGGACAATAGAAACCTCCTGTATAAATCCAGACCACTACAGAGTTCATATATGCAACTGAAAATTTTTTATAAATATTTATTTGACTAAAATTGGACATTCCCGGAAACTCGCGCAAGACCGAAATAATTTGGACTAAAATGCTTGCACTTTTTTCAACTGCATGCTACACTCATATTATGCTTCACACGGACTTTAGGTATATATCAAAATATGCCTAAACTATTCATGTAAGCACTAAACACAACAATCAGTACTTACCGACATTGTAGAATGTATAATCCAAGAGTAGATTAGTAAGGGTGGAGGGAAAAATGCGTGTGTGGGCGAAGCCAAGCCACCAGTGTTTATATTTTGATCTCTCAACCAATGGGAAGGCGGCAGAAGCGAACTGTACTTAGCTGAAGAGACTCAGGGAAGGCTTGTGATTGGTTGGAACTAAAGAACGGGAAGCTGGCCGCGCGGGGCGCGGAGTATGACACGCGCCAAAAACACGTAATTTGGGAATGCTTGGCTTACAATATACTAATATAATACCTTTATTTCTACAAGTACATGTACAAGGTATATAGACCATAGCTGACATCAATGACATACTACTATATAGAAAGCCACTTGTTATGCAGAACATTTCAGGCAAATCTGGTCAGTTTTGTCCCAGTATGCGACCCGCACCAGTCCACTAACACCCAGGTACCCATTTTTACTGATGGGTGAACCATCTCCTGTGTGTGTCACCTTGACTGTTACTGTCCCAAGATGAGTTTCTCCAACAGAGTCAAGATAAAACCATCCAGTGGTACGATCAATGACTCCACCAAGCTTGCCCTTGCTGTGGTAATCAGGGGTCTACAGGTCAAGAGTAATACCATCCTCTCACTCCACGAAGCCTTCATTATTGTCTGTGAAGACGATGTTGAAGCTGAAAAACTACTGACCTCCTCCGCTTTGTCCACTCTATCAGACCGTGGCTTCAAAGTCATGTCCTCTCCTGCCTTACGAGCTAAGAGGACTGTCTTCTTGAAGAGACTTGACAGACTGATTACCATACAACCTGTTGAAGACCTAAAGACCTCCATAGAAGAACCGTAGGCAGGAGAGGTGCTGCACCTCTCCTGCCATACGGTTTATAAGCTCCTTCTCCGCACATATGCCGTATTCTATTCAAGATTGATGGACTGACCACATCGATTCAAGGTTGAGGGACTGATTACCTCAATCTCCTCCTGTTCTTCAAGATTCTCCTTTGTATGGACTGACGAAGCCACTGTGTGGCGAAACGTTTCCTCAATAAAGATACCCAAGAGTTGCACATGTGTCTGATTTATCTGGGGAGTGTCTCGAGACCTAAGTCTCCTATGAGATAGGAGGCCTAGTCACAGACCGGGCCGCGGGGGCGTTGACCCCCGGAACTCTCTCCAGGTAAACTCCAGGTAAGTACAAGTACCCCCTCATCGTCACGGGAAATAAGTCCCTCATCGTCACGGGAAATAAGTCACTTTGACCCAAATGGAAATAAGTAACTTTGACCTTATTTTGGGGTTATCCTAGGTAATTTACGCTATGTATAATAATTGTACTTATGTGTACCTGTTCCTAAATAAATTTACTTATCCAAAAATTGCATTAGTGTATCTAAATAAACTTACTTTAATTTTACTTACACTTTTACTTACCGTTTCTTGCTTTTATTTACGTTTACTCTTACTTAAAGAGCCCCAATGGAAATAAGTCACTCGGACTAACTTTTTTGGTTTATCCTAGGTATTTTACACCTAATTTACCACGTATAATAATTGTAATTATGTGCACCAGCACCTAAACAAACTTAATTAGAATAATAAGATATTATCTCCTTTATATTATAATAATAAGGTATTAAAAGGACCCCAATGGAAATAAGTCACTTCGCCTGATAGTATATAACTGTATTTTGTATACCTGAATAAACTTACTTACTTAGTTATTTAATTAAGTAATAAGTAAAGTTCGCAGGTCGCGTCGTCTTTGTTAAGCATCAAAAACAACAACAATGGCCGCCGAGCAGGATGATGACCTTCTCGACAACTGGGAGGATATCGATGAAAACTCGGTAAATTGGCTAACGGGAGGCCAATTCCCGGGAGACACATGCGACAAGGGGCGAAATGTGCGGCAGTTGTCGCTGTTTTGAAGGGAAGCTCGCTGGTGGAGAGCCTCAGGGAGCACAGTAGTCTTGACTGACTGACTGTAGAGGGAGGTACACCATCTCCCGTGTTGGATTTTCCGCCATCTCTTTACAGTCACAACCAGTCGACTGGTTGTCACTGTCCCTCTGCATGTTTGGCTACATGCCAGGCACTCAGAGGTGCCACTAAGGTGTTAGTTGCTGTGGAAAGCGGTTAAATAGGAGCATGGCACGTCCCTTCTTGGAGTGCCTGCATCCAGGGGTCGGGTTTTTTGGCACCAGATGTTTGACAAATGTTCTCTTTTGTGTCGTCAGGAGAAGTTATTACTGGCGGTAAAAGTGTTTCCAATTAGTTCTTGCCTTAATCTGCAACATTCTAGGGGTTATATGGCAAATGGTTCATCTGGCAGTTGTTGAGGCAGATATGGAAGTCAAGTCGCGTTTTTACTACTGTTGCGTTGACCTTTGTGGGTTTAGCGCTTAAGTAAGTTTCTTAAGCACAGGTACATATAAATACAATTATCATACATGGTGTAAATTTCCTAGGGTAACCCCAAAAAAAGTCTGACAAGTCTGTTTCCATTGGGGTCCTTGTAATATTTAAACCTTAAAAGTTAAAACTAAATAACTCATCTGTATGAACTGTGTAATAATAATTTACTATGCTCTGCATAACCTTGGGCTTTCAACTTGCACTCAAGTGTTATCCTAGGTAGTCTACACATGCACCTATGTATGATAATTTATGTGTACCTATACCTGAATAAACTTACTTATTTACTTACTTTATTTTAGTTTACGTTCCTTACTTACTTTACTTACCTATTTCTGTATAAACAGTGTATCATGTTGAAATAAATTTGTATTTTATGTGCACACAACATATATTTATTTATATATATGTATTTACATATATATGTATTTACATATATATTTATTTACATGAAGTGTCAAGCCTGCTTGGATCATTTACCACAAAGAGGTGGAGGCTTAATCCTTCATCTGGTAATTGCAAGACAGCTGCACTACTAGCGGCCAGCCTGTGTGCCCTCCACACTATTGTAAAAAAATGAAAGTGTGTTATATATGCAAAGCATACAATTATATGACCCTTGTGTATTTAGTGCTTAGTTTTGATTGTAACAGTAATAATAATAATGCAAAGCCTAAATATAAACTTATTTACATATTGTATATATGTGTATATAAATAAGTTTATTTAGGCAGGGGTACACACAAATACAGTTACACAAATTTAGGTGAATATGACTACTATTATAAATAACAAAAAAAGACATAATACCGTGATTAGAACAATACACAAATAACCCGCACATAATAGTAGTAAGCTCCTCACTACTCTTATCATACATAGTAATATAATAATAATAATAATGATAATAATAATAATAGTTTATTTCTACAAGTATGTGTGCAAGATATACATGCCTAGCTGATGTCAATGACATACTACTATATAGAGAGTCCCATTTGTAAATTACTTAGGATAACCCCCAAAAAGTCTGTCAATGTGACATAGTTTCATTGGGGGTCTTTTTATATCTTATTATTGAAAATCTAACTGTAAGATACAGTAGAAATCAGTCAGGATCATGGTTGTATGTAATATATGTGTGTATGTATATATGTAATGTATGTATATATGTAATGTATGTATATATGTAATGTATGTATATATGTAATGTATGTATATATGTATGTATGTAATGTATGTATATATGTATGTAAGTAATGTATGTATATATGTATGTATGTAATGTATGTATATATGTATGTATAAATATAAATATAAAATATGAGTGACAAGCATTGATCAAGGAATATGCAAATAACTGACAATGAGTGAAATTGAGGGAAGGAGCTTTAGGACCTATACTGTCCCTTGTGTATGCTAAAGACCTGCTGATGAGGATCTAATCCTATCTGTGGATAATGCAAAAATCATGCATATGTTACAGATAAAAGAGGATTTCAGGAGAATACATGAGGGCCCAGACTAACTGCAGGAATGGTTCCACAAAGTGGCTCCTTAAGTTTAATTTCAATAAGTTTAGAGTAATAAAAGTTGGAACTGGAGAAGAGAGACCAGAGACAGGAATGTAACCCCTGGGAATGGAAGCAACTTCTTTAGATAATTTTATTTGTTAAGTCATTATTATATGGTAGGAGTTCACAGAAGCATATGGGGGAAAGTTTTGGCTTTTGATGCTAGTGAAGAGTTCTTGATCCTAACAGTTGGAGCTGTTTTCTACTTTGATCAAACCTGATTGCCCCCTTTCCCAGGTACTGTATAACCCTTATGGGTTAAACACTTCCTATAAATATACATAATATAAAGGAAACGAAAAGTTCTTAGATAATTTAAGGCATCAGAGATGTAGAAAACTATTTTGCCTGAGACATATGTACAGTAGTTAAGAACTTTTATGTAGTAATAATATATCTCAGAATTGTATATCATAAATATGAATATATGGTATATACGTTTCTATAATTTTCAGGCTGTGTTAGAAGAACGTTTAGAAAAATTGGCAATAAAAAACTCTCAATTAGAGTCAACAATGCACTCGTAAGTATTTATTTACAAGTTTTTCGTGTTCGTATCCCTCGTTTTATGCTGTTAACGTATTCCAAGCCCATGGTAGTTGAACTAGGCTCAGTCATGCAGTAACACTTAATTTCACACAATCTTTAATGTGCTTTGCGAACCTTACTGGTTGCATACGATGAATGTGTATTGCATATATATTGAATTACTAATGGAAATTAAACATTACGCAATAGTGAAGTCACATAAAGCATGATTGTTTTTATTAATTTACAATTGTAAGTATTAATATGAGTTTTGCCCCTATCTGGGCTGTGAGTGGGTTAACTTAAAAGTGGAAAATTTAGCTAAAGAAAATACTGGTGTATAGTAGGATTCTGATGAGCCATTTATGATTAACTACACGCATTGTCCCTTCAAGGAGAAATACCTTGATGCTGATGAGGGGCTCTCTTGATTCAGAGAATTAAAGCTACCCTCCCTGCCCTTTGATCAAACCTGATTACCTTCTGTTTCCCAGGCACTGTATGCTTTCTACAGACTCTGTATTTCCCAAGAATATAATAATGATATTAAGTCACCCTAATATAAGAAAACAGCTTAACTGATGTATGTAATAAAAAACATCAGTCATCATTTTTATTTCTCCTGAATCAGGCTGTAAGGATACCGGCCATAGTAGGAAGGAACAACAGTAATGTGGGTTGTTTGACTCTACACAAGCTCATCCATCTTCCAGAATATTTGCTGAACCTGTGCTGTCATCCCTTGAGACTTGATATGACTCCTCCATAAAAAAACACCATTGACCAAATTCAATCTTAACCCATAAACGGTCCAAGCAGATCTACGTTCATATGCGTAGTGCTCCAAAAGTAGATCTACTTTTTTTACATATTTTCAAATGTAACAAAAAAAAAGTAGATCAAAGTTTTTTTTACACATTTTCAAATGTAAAAAAAAAAAAAAGATCTACTTTTTTTACATACTTTCAAATGTTGAAAAAACGTATATATACGTTTGGACCGTTTACGGGTTAAGAATGAAGATGTTGGGAAACAGTAATCAAGCAAGGTCTATAATTACAAAACTCTTATAATCAAGTAAAAATAGTATTAGAAAAAGAAAGAACCTAAACAAATGTGGACCTTAAGTGGTTAGATCTAGAAAAAGAGCTTGAACAAATGTGAGCCTTAAGTGGCTAGATCTAGACAAGAAAGAGCTTGAAAAAATGTGAACCTTAAATGGCTAGATCTCTGCCTCTCTTGTCAGTGAATGATTCCAATAAAGAGAAAGTACAAGAGGTTCTCAACTTGCTAATGCCCCAACTGACGCTTATAAGCACTTACAGGTCACTTAAAAATGTAATTAATTTTTGCATCTGCCTATACATAGTATGAACATTCTTGCAGTTTAACCATCCTTTTTGTCATATTTTTTTTATAGGAAAACTGCTTGTTGAAACACCAGGGATGCAACTTTTGTAATTTGAGGATTTTTTGTACTAACTACATAAATTAAAGTGTCACTGTTGAAACCTAATAGGCTAACTCTATTACCAGAATGAAGGGTCTTGTATTTGCGGTACACCTCACGATCGGAAGGTGGACACATTGGGCTGGAAAGGTCAGAGAAAAGCATCTGCTTGAACCTTCCTTAGCACTGTATGACTCTTACGGGTTTAGTGCTTGGCTAAAAGTATAATAATAATTGAACCTTCCCTGATGAATATCTAGAAGTGGACAAAGTGTATACTTAACAGGTTTTAAATTTGATAAGTGTGAGATATGGCTATTAAAAGTAGTAAATGAGAGAATACTGTGCAGCACCAGTAGTTCCTGATCACTGTTAAATGTACAGAACAACTGTAGTTATTTTACATTCATTGCCACCTTATTGTGGAGTGTGCAAAGAACTTTATTTCCATTCTTACAAAGTGCCCTTTTTGCTTATCATATATTTTAATAAATTCTCAATATCTGTATTTGTGATATGCTGTATGGTCATCTTTGATTCTTCAGAGGATCATATTTCATTATTACATTTGGAGGGTTAAACCTGCAGGGGTCATTCAGCTCCTGAGATAATAGGAGATCAAATTTGATCCAATGAAAGGGAGATCATGTCCAGTTCCTTGGGTCAAGAGCTGTTCTTGAAGGGTCATGTGTTCACATAAAGCCTTGTTAATGGTAGTTAAAAATATACTTTCAGTTCAGTGCTTTTGTTAGATTTTTTAAAAAAAATCTAATTAAAACACATTACTCTGCCATTTCCTTTCTTTCTTTTGCTTACAAATTACTCTGACTCATACAGGACTCACGTTGTTACCTGTGAGGACACCTCACGCACCCCTTTTATGACACAAGAACCGAAGATCATGATTTTAAGAAGACCGCAAGAGAAATCTGATACATCTCCTAATGGGTTGATTAACATTAAGCAGAAGCAACCTGTAAAAACACTCGAGCAGGTACTATAGATTTTTCTTCAAGTACAGGATTTAATTAGAGGTGGCTTTGAGTTTATGCGGCTGTGTGTTAGTTTTCTACTGTTCATAGAGTAACATATTTGGGCAGTATAATTTTATCAAGCAATTTTCTAAGAATTAATTTGCTCATTTTGGCTCTCAGTAAATTGATGAACAATCAGTTACTTAAGATGTAGATTTCTATACATTATAACTGATTCCTTCCATGTGCTATGGGACTGGAACTGAAGATAATGGATAGATACATAAATTGAAAGGATAATAAAGCAAGGCAAGCTAATATTAATTCACAAATAACCTGCACATAGGAGAAAGACTTACAATGACGTTTCGTTTCCTGCCCTCTTCTTGTATGTATATACTGGCTCCCTTACCTTTGTGTGTTAGTGTGACTAGTTAATGATCCAAGTTGGACCAAGACATTTTAAGTTTCTCCTGTGTGGATTATTTGTGTATTGTTCCAGTCCTGATATTGTGCCTTTTTTTTTTCTTCAATATTAATTTGTAAATCATTTACTAATTAATGCAAGTACATTACAGAGACAGCAGGAATATGCAGAAGCAAGATTGAGAATACTTGGTGATGCAGGAAGTTCTGAAGAAAATAAACCAAAGCCAATACAACAAAAATCTTTAGAGCAGGTATGGTCAGAATCAGTTGATTTTAAATAGGTAATATCCAATAAGTACGTACTGGCATATTTTCTGACAAATTAATAATTATTAAGCAAATATTTGCATTTATTTTTTTCATGTTGACACATGATGGTGTGATGGATGCTACATTTGGTTCATTTTAGCCTGTTAGTGATTACATATATGTAGCCTCAGAAGCAAAGCTTGTGGTATCCCATCTTTAGTGTCTAATCAGTTGGAATATTTTTAGATGTTCTAGTGGTTTTAGCACTTGCCAACCTTGTCCTGTAAATTGTTCTATTGTTCTACCATGCTGTTTGCAAAGAACAGTTTTGTAGTATCCTCTGAGCATCAGTTTTTCCATAGGATATCATCATCAGTCATCATCATCACTACCACCATCAGTGTCATCATCATCATCACCACCACCATCATTGTTACCACCACCATCACCACCACCACCACCATCATTGTTACCACCACCATCACCACCACCACCACCACCACCACCACCACCATCATCATCGTCACCATCACCACCATCGTCACCATCACCACCATCGTCACCATCACCACCACCATCACTGTCACCACCACCACCATCACCACCACCACTGTCACCACCACCACCATCACCACCACCATCACCACCACTGTCTCTGCCACCGCCACCACCATTGTCACCATCACCACCACCGTCACCACCACCACCACTGTCACCACCACCGTCACTACCACTATCACCACCACCGTCTAGGGTTATCTTTTGAATTTATCCACTTGTTTATTTAATATTGTTTCTTTATTTGTGATTTCTGGTTATTGTAGTATTTATTTCACTGATATCTTTTCATTTATCATTCAGAGAGAAGCAGATTACGCTGCTGCACGATTGCGTATCATGGGATCCTCTTCCAAGTCTGTGGAAGAACCAATGTTAACTGGGTAAGATAAATTTATGAACAGTGAGTTGTCAAACATATGCATTAGTTAAAGTTAATGGGATATTTAATACTTCGTAAAAATATTTTTATATTCTGGTTATTTTTATATAGCCAGACTTGAGTACTGGAAATGGGAAGTACAATGCCTGAACTTTAAAGGAGGGATTTGGGATATTGGCAGTTTGGAGGGATATGTTATAGTCGTACTGGCCAGGTTGTGGCAGCCTCCACCAAGATTCTTAATCTTTATATGTGCTTCTAAACTGTTGTATCTTGGCACTTCTGCAAAAACAGTGATTATGTATGAGTGAGGTGAAAGTCTTGAATGATGATGAAAGTATTTTCTTTTTGGGGATTTTCTTTTTGGGTCACCCTGCCTCGGTGGGAGACGGCCGACTTGTTGAAAAAAAAATATTTTTCACCACAAATTTTCCTTTTCTTTCACTTCTTTCACCAAAATATTCTTTTAATTTTCAGAAGTTCTCCTGGAAATCATATGGTTAACATTCAGAGGGAACCCCAGAATAATGTTGAGGTTGTAAGGTTTCCAAAAGGCCCTGATGGAACTTCTGGTTTTAGCAGAGGAGGCAGTCATCACAGGTAGCAAAAGCTTAAGTTAGCAGTCAGTTTAGTGTTTTCTTGCAGTTGGCAAAATTTTAGCCTGAATGAATCATAACTCCATGCAATGTTACAGGAGTTGGTCATTAAAGAGGCTACAGTTAAATGATTAATCATATTTCACAAATTATCTCACTTGTACGGTACATAATGTATATTTATATATTTCTGTATTCAGGTTCCAATAATCACTAATAGGAATAGCAACCTGTATAATTTGTAGACCACTAGTAATAGACTCTTGGAAAACTTTTTCATCCAGCAAGTGAAAAAGCGCAATATTCAGGATTTTTCTGGTTACCATGAGATAATCTTAAGCAAAATCCCCTACCTCTGAATGATGCATTTTGCCCAGGGTCTTACTGAGAGATCTTCTGATTGCATCCACATATATGTATTCAGCATTTGATATATATTGCCAATGTCACAGGTCAAGAGTTTTTTCTTGTCACAGTTGGCTGAGAATCCTTGTTAAGAATTTGACTGCCTCTGCAATGGTTATGGATGCTGATGGTAGGGTTCCTATTAGTAATTCATAGAAATGAATACTAAGTATAATGTTTTGAAGAATTAAAAGCTACTCTCTGTGGAGGGTTCTTATTAACTCTTAAACGGTCCAAATGTATATATGCGTTCTCTCACGTAGTGCCCCAAACGTATGTATAAGTTTTGTTTGTCATTTATTCAACATTGGCACAATAGGCCTGAGTTGCCTAGACATGAGAGAATGAGTGTGCGCCATATGAAAAAAATTTGGGATGCCTGAGTACCACATGCTCTTTTTTCCTATAAAAAACCGATTGTTTTTTCTCAAAATATTTGGGGTGCTGCGCAGGTAAACCTATATATACGTTTGGATTATTTAAGGGTTAATAATGCATAGAGCCTGTGTACTGAATATAACATTCTGAAGAATTAAAAACTACATTCTGTGGAGGGTTCCATAAACCTCAGTGTCTGTTACCTCCTTTGCATTTGTTCCTCACCAGGCTGTACCAGATAGTGCTGTGGTCTTAATATGTGAAGCAGATGCTGGAGCGAGCCCAAGTGTGCATGTAGATGGATGTAATAATATTTGCTGGACAAAAAAAACAAAAAGTGGTTGAAGAGTCTATTACAGTACTGGTATGACACAAGTTATACAGACAGATTTTTATTCCTATCAGCAATTCATGGAAACTTCTGGAGAAAAGTTTTTCATGCTTCAAAATGTTATGATGGCTTTATTTTCACATCCTTGTTTTTTCATCATCTATGTTGAACCTTGATTTTTTTTAATGCAGTTAATACTCATTAGTCAGTATGATAACTCCAAAAATAAAAGTAATCCAGAGCTTGCCATTGAGATAAAAAGACCATCTTTTCAGAAAAAAAAAATATTTTTTTACTGCTGTTAATGATATTTACTGCAGAAATTAAGCTTGTGTATGAGCTGCTTATGTCATAGTCTTTTTTGCTTATATAAATGCTTAAATGGTTGAACATTCAAAGTATGAGAGTGTATGCAGAACCTTTTAGTATTCAACTAACAAATTGTCTTTGTTGCCACATGGTATAGACAAAATAATACTTATGCAACAAATATACGATGATAAAAGGTTTTCTACTCCTTAATTTTGGATGAAGAATTCTGCACTCATGTTTTCATATAACATTTAATCCCAATATTCAGTTTGTATAAAACACACATTATTGTATAAATGCTTGTTATGTTACATAGATTTTTACTTCTAATGTACAACTGAGGTAATTCTGGGAATATGATCCCAGGTCATTCAGGAATGTCAAAAAGCATTTTAAGGGTGTCCTTAAAATTCAGAGTTGAAATATTTTGCCTTATGGTTATAACAACCAATGATAAAATTGCCAGTTTTTAAGATAATAATAACATAACAGGATATACTTTAATAAGTTTTTAGATTTATTTGGCCGTATTGTCAGTATTAAAGAGATTGCCACCATTATGAATTTTTGAGATTAAACAATTATTTGAATCCTGCCATAAAAAATATACCTTAAATTTTTTGGGTTGCTATTGGAGTGTGAGTAAGGTTATCTCTATGAAGGAAGTCAGGGAAAACCAGTTAAGTGGACTCAAGTTCTGAAGGTGGGAAGTACAGTGCCTATACTTTCAAAGATGTAATTATGGATTTGTAATTATTTTGTAACCACAAGAGATTTTATGCTCATGGTGCCCTGTGTATAGCAATTAAATCTATAGATATTTAAATTTCCAAGGGTGGTAGCACTTGCTATCTCTTTAAATTCATTCCATTGTCTCACTACTCTTCCCTTCCAGAAAAATTTAATATGTCTGAAAGATACTTTGTCAGTCTACAGCTGTGGCTACTTGTTCTCCCTGTTAAAAGTTAAAAGAGCCTTTTATTAACCTACTTTTTTATATCTTTTTTTATGGCTTATATATTTGTCTTTTTTTTCTGTTTCAGCCAACGAGGGCATTTTTAGATTTTTCACTCTTTTAGTGTAATTTTTTCTTTGAACTCTGAACTGTTTTAATTGTGATTTCCATGCACTTGTAAATTTAACAGCTAGAAACAAAAAATGGTTGTGAATGTGTTTTTGTTTTGGTCACTCAGTCTTGGTGGGAAAATATGTTAAAATAATATATGTTTACAGTATGTATCCTCATCTGTTATTCAGAGTACAGGCACTGTGCTTACCACCTTCAGAACTCAGGTTCAACTAATCTGTTTTTCTTCTTGTAATATTTCCCTGGACAGTGTCCTGGCACAGGTCTTAATTTTTCGATGACCTGTTAGGATTTTTTGTTAACCGGTTTTCCTGAATCTTTTCAGAGATATTACCTTTCTCACACTCAGTGGCATGTCAAATCTCACAAACCACTTGTCTCCACTCTGATTTAGCTCTTGTGGTTTAGTGCTTCTTTTTGATTATAATAATAATAATCCACTCTGATTTATCATGCTTACACATGCTTCTTGAATGCTCAAGCCATTTCCACTTAAGATTTCCTTTACATTCTTTCTCCCTTTAGCCCTTTTTTGGATGACACCTACTTCTTCTTTCCATCCTGGATTTATAAATACTCATGGACATCTTTTTCTGTTCCATCCTCTCTCAGTACGAATACCACATCAACATCTCTGCCCACTGATTTATTTTTTAGTAGAAATTGGATATATCAGCAATGTGCTGCTATCCTATTCTTTATAACAGTTACATGGTGGAAACATCAGCTAGCCATGTTTCCTTTTCATATTCCATCATGCATTTCCCTGTCATATTTAATACATAGCAGTGAAATCTGTCAGTCTGAGAGGGAAGACCTAGGTAAGGCTATAAGGATATCATTAACCTTTTCACTGTTTTTCCACATAGATTTAAGTCAGTAAGGCTAATATTGCATATGTAGATCTATGTCTTAATCATAGCACCTCTCCAACATTCTGTCATCGGTAAATTTTGGCCTAGACATGAGAGAATGGGTCTGCGCAGTGTGAGTGCAAAATATAAAAAAAAATCCTGCCCAATGCAGTGCGTGATGGGAATAGTGAACCTCTTATTCTGTGTTTGGGTTAAAATACCTACTTTAGAGGCTTTTTTCTTAAGAGTGGTTTTTATGGTTTTTATTGGACATTTATTGGTATCATTTGATAGACCCAAAGACACACTAGTGAAATGGAGATGATCTTTGTCAGTTTCAGGCCAGAAATAGGGAGACATTTGATTTTTTGGGATTGTTCTAAGGAAGGGTAAGAGCTCCATCACATCTCCCTTTCTGGTCTGTTTTATGGGTGTTTACTAGACCTGCTTCATTTATTTGGATGGCCTAAACCATGGCCTATTATTATTGGTTATATTAGCCAAGAAATAGGATAAAACATCTAAGTTTTGTGATGGATTAAAAATGGAGGGCAAGTGTTACATGAGTTAGGCCTAGAAACATGATTAGTAAAGAGAGGAAAGGGTGCCTTAGTGACTGAAATGCTAACAGTTTTATTTTGGACTCTGTTTTTAAATTGGAGTTTTGTTGAATTTTGTGTAAAGTTGGTCAAATTACTGACTTAAAAGATAGTTCCAATAGTTGATTGGGTAGTTACTTGTGCTCAGTTGACAAGGTAGTTCCAATAGTTAAATGGGCAATTACTTGTGCTCAGTTGATAAAACAGAAGGCATGCAAGTGAAATAGCCAGGAATTGGGATTGGTTTGAGCAGCAGAATTTGCCTGAAATAGGCCTCAGAGTGGATGATATAGCAATTGTGGAAAGTGCTCCCCAACCTCCAACTTTTGCACCTGTGTAATTTCATAAGTTTTACATCAAAATTCAAATTTTTTGTTATTACCTATAGAAAAAGATTTTTTACCATTTCAGATTTTTTTTAATTTCAAGGGATGTGACAGTGAAAGGGTTAACCCTCTCAGGGTCTGTGCCATAGTTCTGTGGCTTTGACCAGGGTCCATGCCATAGTTCTATGCCATTGAGCTCAGCTCACTCAGATAAGCTGTGAATGGTAAATTTGGGCCTAGCTATGAGAGAATGGGCTGATGCAGTAAGTGTGCACCATATAAAAATAATCCTGCCCCATGCAAAGCATAATGAGGAAAAAAAAAAGTGCGGTGTATTTTTGGATGGTTTTTAAGGTTGTATTCTTGGTTTCTTGGTATCATTTGATAGAATGGAAAATATATTACAGAAACAGGGATTATTTTGATTGGTTTCAGGATTGGAAGTAGCTTGAAATCGAGCTCAAAGTAGTGAAAATATTGAATTTTTGCCAATATGCCAGAGTAAACAAATCACATCAGTCGTTCAATATGCATCCAACTGGTCAGTCTAATATGTGTTCACAAATGTGCTGACATTTATGCAATTATTACAATAATGCATAACAGTGTAATTCTTTTATTTTTTGTGTGAATTAATATTCTTTGTGAATAAATATTCAAAATGGAATTCATGTGTAAAGCCTAGGAGCATAACTGATGAACAGAGGTAATATCATTTTAGTGCTAGGAATGCCTGCATTGTTTTTTCTGGACCCTAATTTGATACGTGTGTGTAAGTGGCCAAATTACCAATTTCTAATCGACTGGGTAGTTGAAATAGTTGATTGGGCAATTTTTTGTACTCGACTGATAAAATGGAAGACATACTAGCTACACAGCTAAGAATTTTGTAGACTGGGGCGAGGTAATTGGCCTAAAATAGGACTTAAATTGGGCAAAATCGCTGATGCATAACCATCGCTGACACAGTAAAATTTGTGAGAGTAATTTCGTCAGTTTTCCATCAAATTTTGTACTTTTTGTTTTATTAGCTTCAGAGAAAGATTCTCTACCATTTCATAAGATAAAATATATATATTTTTTTTTAATTCTTGGACCCTGTAGATACTTTTCAGATTGAGGGGTCTGGACCCTGAAAGGGTTAATTATTCCATTTAGGGTTCAAAGGCTACAGGAGTTTTTATCCTACATACAGGATAATTGGAATTTTTGTTAATATCCATGGTCATAGAGGGGGAGCTACAAAAATAGTATGGAGGGGGAAAAGGGGGGGGGGGGATTTCAGTTCCTCTTTGGAATTTTACCTTTCAAAACCTCACACTGTCTTCTAATTTATTCACATCACACATTGCTCTCAAATACAAGATCTCCACTTCCTTCAGCCTCCTCCTCCTCCTTGACATTATTTAAGTCTGTACACAAGTGTTTCTTTTTTTGGGTCACCCTATCTTGGTGGGAGATGGCTGACGTATTGAGAAAAAAAATATACACAGTACTAACAAAAATTATCAGTTTTTGTGATATTTGTTCATCATTGGTTATTAAATAAAATTTATTTTCATATAAAGTGCTGAATTTTGGTTAAATAATTGTTGGTAAACTCTTCAATTTTGACCATATGACCTCTGGATTACAAGATCCCCTAGTCTCAGGCACTGCAGAGCCTACTAGACGTGCTGCTACATATTTTAGAAATGTGTATTATGTAGTGTTTAATGGAGTTAGATTTATATTTACAGTGATTTTCCTAATAGGGTTGGCTTCTATCAAGCAGATGGACCTAACGTGACCTACATTTTTGGTAGGTAGAAATCCATCTGTGCTGTGTGTAGACTAAGTGTATCTTTAATATATCTGCATTAGGAGTGGTGTTACTTGATCCTTCCTATTTGAAATACTGTGTACAAAGCTAAGGAAAGTCCACTGACCATGATTGAAATTTTGGAGATATCCTGTTTGGATAACTGAAAAATATGTAAATTGGAATGGCATTATTACTCAACAGTAGGTGTACGCAACCTTTTCTTCTGGGTACTCTTGGGGAGGGTAAAAAAAAAAAATCCGTCGATGAAGACAATATTGTATACAAAGTGCCAGTTTCCAATGCTAATGAAACTCCATCCTTTGTGATTTATTGGCTCTGCTTCCACACCGTTGTCCAAAACTGTATTTTTGGGGGCGGCATGATTGCAGTCACTGCGAGTCTTGGCTGCTTTTATATTTAATAATGTCTATTTTTTTCATACCATTATATTTACTGTAAGTGCTGTATTTGTTGGACATAAACTGTTAATTGTAGTGTCATACTGTGGATTGTTTTCAGAATGTTGTATAAACAACTTTTTTAAGCTAAAAATGTATTACTAAAGCTTCTCGCTGTTTATTGAATGTATTAAATATTGTACTATAATTGTAAAATTTCTTCGGTAAACTTTTTCTGGTACTGTATAGTGAAACCTCATTTTACGAAACTAATTCTGGAAACTTGTTCTAACCTCTAATGCAGTTCCTAGATTTTATCAGCAATAAGGATTACCAGATGGGGTTTAAGGATAATTGAAAACAATAACTATACTGTACAGTAGGGCCCTAACTTACCACAGTAATGCTTTTATAAAAATTGTTCACAGGTTGAGCTTTTGGAACTCTTTAAGTCTGTTTTTCCGACACCCCTATTATAATAGATATATTCCCATGACATACTGCAGTGTTCTATTTCTGATCCAGTTTATTCTTAACTTCCCAATATAGGTCATCCATCACTAATCTGGCATCACTGGGGCCTGTAGGGTACCAGATTAGTAATTCTGCCAGATCACAGAGTGGTTAGGTTAGAATACACTTAACCCAACAGCTAAATTTGAAATTACACTAACTGAAATTAGTGCCAGATTAGTGATGGCTGACCTGTACTTTACATTTAATTCTGTTCCTTGCCACTTACATATAGTATTAAGACATTGTTTGATTAATGTATACATGCTATACATGAAGGACGGGTAGGGGTAGGGGTCGTCCTCGAAAAGGTTGGAGGGAGGGGGGTAAAGAAGGTTTTGTGGGAGAGGGGCTTAGACTTCCAGCAAGCGTGTGTGAGCGTGTTAGATAGGAGTGAATGGAGACGAATGATTTTTGGGACCTGATGAGCTGTTGGAGTGTGAGCAGGGTAATATTTAGTGAAGGGATTTAGGGAAGCTGGTTAGCCGGACTTGAGTCCTGGAAATGGGAAGTACAATGCCTGCACTTTAAAGGAGGGGTTTGGGATTTGTAGATGAATGGTTCAGAGAACCGACATGTTGATAAATTAGACACATGTGCAACTCTTGGTTATCTTTATTGTGGAAACGTTTCGCCACACAGTGGCTTCATCAGTCTGTACGTAGGAGAAATTTGAAGAACAGGAGGAGAATGAGGTAATCAGTCCCTCAACCTTGAGTCGATGTGTTCAGTCCATCAATCTTGAATAGAATGCGGCATATCAGCGGAGAGGCAGCTTATAAACCGTATGGCAGGAGAGGTGCAGCAGTCATAGGTCGTGTCACATTTGTTCAATGTGGAAGTAGGTCGTGCCCAAGAATTAGGCAAGCGAAGAATTCCTAAGTATTAAGATCCCAAGAAGTTGCAGTGTCTGACAGATTTGTAGATGAATGGTTCAGAGAACCGACATGTTGATAAATTAGACACATGTGCAACTCTTGGGTATCTTTATTGTGGAAACGTTTCGCCACACAGTGGCTTTATCAGTCCGTACGTAGGAGAAATTTGAAGAACAGGAGGAGAATGAGGTAATCAGTCCCTCAACCTTGAGTCGATGTGTTCAGTCCATCAATCTTGAATAGAATGCTGCATATCAGCGGAGAGGCCATACGGTTTATAAGCTGCCTCTCCGCTGATATGCCGCATTCTATTCAAGATTGATGGACTGAACACATCGACTCAAGGTTGAGGGACTGATTACCTCATTCTCCTCCTGTTCTTCAAATTTCTCCTACGTACGGACTGATGAAGCCACTGTGTGGCGAAACGTTTCCACAATAAAGATACCCAAGAGTTGCACATGTGTCTAATTTATCAACATGTCGGTTCTCTGAACCATTCATCTACAAATCTGTCAGACACTGCAACTTCTTGGGATCTTAATACTTAGGAATTCTTCGCTTGCCTAATTCTTGGGCACGACCTACTTCCACATTGAACAAATGTGACACGACCTATGACTGCTGCACCTCTCCTGCCATACGGTTTATAAGCTGCCTCTCCGCTGATATGCCGCATTCTATTCAAGATTGATGGACTGAACACATCGACTCAAGGTTGAGGGACTGATTACCTCATTCTCCTCCTGTTCTTCAAATTTCTCCTACGTACAGACTGATGAAGCCACTGTGTGGCGAAACGTTTCCACAATAAAGATACCCAAGAGTTGCACATGTGTCTAATTTATCAGGGGTTTGGGATATTGACAGTTTGGAGAGACTTCTAAACTGTCGTATCTGAGCACCTCTGCAAAGACATTGATTATGTATGAGTGAGGTGAAAGTGTTGAATGATGATGAAAGTATTTTCTTTCTGGGGATTTTCTTTCTTTTTAGGTCACCCTGCCTCGGTGGGAGATGGCTGACTTGTTGAAAAAAAAAAATGCTATTCTGAAAAGAGCTTCAATACAGTATAGATGTGAAAGGGCAGCAGCAGCTGGACTGTGAGAGGAGGAAAGGAAAGGATAGAGAGAATGGGGAAGGAAGGTTATGTAGTGTGGGAAGGTAATGATGGGCATGATTGTGAGTGTGTGTGGCACGAGCTCCTCTACCCCACATACTCATCATGTCCAGTGCCTGGGAACAGCTAGCAGTGGCTACCTAAGCCCAACCAAACAGCATAATTATTTAATCTACAGTTTTTGACTACTCTCCCAAATAAATGCGAGCTCTCTTTATGTGTGAATGTATTTGGTAGAAACTAAGAAAAATATTTATAATTCAACATAAAAGAGTCAATTATTAAAACAAAAGTTCTTGGCCATCTCCATCAAATAAATATGAACTGTATACGCACATCTATAAAGTGCACATGCGAAGTATGACTGTATGCGATAAAAACTAAGAAAAAATAAAAAATGTGGAACATTACATATTGGAACATCCTAAGTCAGGGCCCTACTATGTGAACTTTGATAAGCCCAAAATTTTTAGAGATGTTGAAGCACATTTGTACAACAAGTCACAATACAAGTAATTAAAGTCAGAAAGCAAGAAAATTTTGCAGCAATATACTGAGGTTGCTTTAATTACCTTAAAATGAGGTATGACCTATAGCAGACTCTATATGACAATTATCATATTGTTGTTCAATATTATATAAAACTTCTTTTATCAAGGAGTTTTTCTTATCAAGGCAAGAAAAAATGTTAAGGGTCTGGTAATATGTAGCTCGATTTAGTGTTTATTGGTTCTTGACACTTAAATTTTTATTTGCCAAGATCAAATCTACATAAATATATTTATAAGAAGTTCTTTGGCCTATTGTTAGTATCCATTATAATTTCTTAAATATTATTGTATTGATTGTTATGCTTGTTTCATTCCACTGCCAAAGGAATTTTAACTACTTGTAAAAATCATATCATGTCAGGATCCAAGTTATTGCACATCTAGTGACATTGTACCAGAACTACATAATTCCTAGGACCCTTCTAAGCAAATGGGACATGGCATTTGAAACAATAGTTCGTAGTTTTTATATTTGAAAGAATTTTTACAAAGGCTATTACATTGTTTATCATTTTTGCCAAAATGATATATTTATATTTTTCATTTCACAGTACAGCTCTATATTCAATAAAAAAAAAAACTTGGGTTCTCTGCTTAGCTGACAAGGAGTTGAAAATTATGGCCAGAAAAAATGAGTCTGTGCCTTAGTTAAGACATAATCGTTTGTTAATTGTTGGTGTACACCAGAGAAGGCCAGTATAGTATTGAGAGGACAGAAGTAGAGCATTTACAGTAAGGCTTCACTTGAAAATTCACTACTGGTTTATGCTCAGTCTTCTCTTATATGTTAACTTTAGTGAATTGCAATTTTATGGGTATAAATTATTTCATATTTTACATTGGAATGTAGACAAATTTAAAGGCTTTAATTATCTGAAATAAGGAACCAGATTGAAAAAGTGTAACATATCATGAATTGCTACCCTTAATATCACTAGAGAATTGGAAGAGTAGTTTAGTTTGTAATCCATTTCTATCATTTACAAGTTCTGTATAGTGAATCTGTTTAGCTTTTAACATTTTTCATTTAAATTCTGAATATTTTTGCACAGATGTGTGTTTGTGATTCTGTCATATTTCTGCCTCAGCTTGATTCTTCCATAAATCCAGATGATTCTAATTACCAAATCATACTTATAATTTTAATTAAAGAATTTTCAATATATTTGATAACTAATTTTTTTTTTTTTTACATCCTTTGTATTGAGGTAATTTCTATTATTGAAAGCCTAATGTAGTTCAGACTTTTTTTTAAAGCAGATCACCACTTTATGTAGTAATTGGCAAGGGAAGTTTTAGGTCAAAGGAAGTTAGAGGAGATGGTGGTAGCATGATTTGGAACTCCTGTATACTTCATCAAAATTTCTGCATGTCCATCTGGTAGTATTAGGCTAATGGGTCTGTATGTGCTGTTATGGATGCCAGTTGTATAGAGAGCTTGTGCGAGTGTGATGACAGTCTTAGCTTTAGTAAATGACTGGAAATTTGGTAATTGGTATGAGTACTTGATAAAAAGAGGGTCTCCAAATATTTTTGAACCTTACACTATTTACTTGGTTTTATATTACAAATGCTATACATTAATCTAAAACATAATTTCTGAGTCATAATCACTGCTTCAGTAAAGCAGTG